CAGAAATGTTTTAATTGTTAGACAGAAAATGAAGTGTTCGCTGCTGTCAGTACAAAAATCGAAAATTCTGCCATAAGATAAACAGAAGATACTAGTGTTTTCCATTAATTGGACATCTGCCACAGTTCAAGTCGTGCCCGACAAAATAAACGGTAAATCAAACAAAGGTCTCGAAGGATAAATAGCCACAGTTGAAGAAAACGGTTTCTTTTTCGTTTTACGTCCTGGATAGGAGACAAATTTGGGAGGAACTGCTAAACTATGGCTGAAGAGTACAAAGGACATCCGTCGCTGGAGAAGTATGTGAGTCTTTTGGCTCAAAGAGAAACAGGAATAGTGGCTCTGGAAGTGTTGGTTTGTGTAGTACTTCTCCTGGCAGCCCTGCTAGGAAATTCATTGGTGCTTTGGATGGTGTGCAAAAACAAAAACCTACGAACCATTCCCAATCATTTTATTATCTCGCTGGCGTTAAGTGACATCGCGATGGCTACGATCTGCCAGCCGCCATGCCTTACAGTTCTCATAGTTGGAAAACGCACCTATGGAAATTTCGTGTGCCAAATGCAAGGGTATGTGGTAGCTACGTTGGCTTGCGTCTCGCTATTAACTTTAACTCTGGTCGCTGTAAACCGGTACTTTTTGATCGTGCGCCCCAAGAACTATCAGGACATTTTCACGACCGGCCGAACACGGCTTATGATCTTGGCCATTTGGGTTCTTTCTTTGCTTGAGCCACTTCCTTATCTGCTGTCAGGTCACAACTACGTTTACCACGCAGGGAAGTTCTTCTGCTTTCAAGTCGTTGAGGTTGACTTTTTTACGCTGTTGGGTTACATCTTCATTGTGATTCCCATGTTCGTACTTACACTCTGCTATTACAAAGTTTTCAAAACGCTAAGAGAGCACAAAAAGCGCTTACAGAGCATGCGGCGTCGAGACGATCAGCCGTCCACAGTAAAGATAACTGTCGAAGACATCAAGGTGACCAAGACCCTTTTCATAACTGTGTGTGGCTTTGTCATTTGCTGGACACCGATTTCCATCGTGGATTTCATAGGGTTCGCTCAAGGAAGTTGGAACCTTCCTCGCGAAGCCTACGTTATGTACACATTTTTGGGGCAACTAAGTACCGTGATTAACCCCGTCATATATGGCGTCATGAACAAAACTTTTAGAGAAGAGTACAAGAAGCTTTTCAAATGGCACGGTAACGCAGAAATTACGCAGGATTCCGAGAACACGCCACAGACGCAAGATAGTAAGTGTTCAGTTATTTAGAACAGAACTTTTATACTGAGCCAATTTCCTTTGCTGACTTTTTAGAAAGTGCGAAATTTATATTAAAAAATGTTAATATTTCATTTGTAACGTACAGGTTCCGATCCATTTCCGCTTAGCAAAGGGATATTTTTAGAACATACGTAACACAAGAGCTAGAACTTTGAAAAACAGATTTAGTTAGTTACATTATAAATGACGCGTCTAGCTGTGCAAACGCTTTTTATTAGGTGACCTTTGAGGACTGTATATGCATGTGATGTCATCGACATTTTGCTTAAGTTACCATATTTGGCTCATAGAACGCTCTGCTGTAACAACGACGTGACACGTATTAATGGGTATAAAAAGGGAAATGTGAAAACTGAGCGGAGAATAACATAGTTGGTCTTATCTTAAAGAATAGGATTTTGGGTTCCTGGATATATAGCTAGTTTTTGTTACCCGAGAGGAGCTAATTAAACTATTTGCAAGTTATGGTTGAATTGTTTTCGTGCTTGCCTTGCCATCTGACCTTTTCATTACAATTGGCCTAGTTGCTATCGATATCAAATTCATGTGTAAGCTCACATTTGCTTGGTTTACACGTGACGTTACGGCGATCATATGGGCTGTCTGTGCAAAAATGTTTTTCTCCACCGCGAACTCAACTCGATTTTCAATCAAATTCTGCAAAAAAAAATGTATTGTATTGATCACCAACATGCGCCCCTTATCACGTGGTTTCGAAGCAAAATATGAAGAAAGAAACAGACTAATGGACCTTTTTAGCCTGTATGTTTTGTTTTCCCAATTTAGTCCACGTGATGTTCACGTGGATGCACGAGCATAGGACATTTGAAAGAAACAGTTCTCCAGGGTACCATCACGTGATCTGAAATGGGAAAACAAAACATACAGGCTAAAAATGGGAAAACAAAACATACAGGCTAAAAAGGTCTACTTCGATATGAGTCATCTAAGCCTCAGAACCAAGTATGAATTTTAATATATGGAAAATGGTTTTGAAAATTCTCTATAGAAACATCACGTGCTTTGAAAAATTTGCGGGAAGAACAGCCGTCATTAAAAAGGTTGGTTCTACACATGTACGCAAAATTGGAACGCGTACCATCGCCTTGACCCTGTCTTTCTGTGATTAGGTTCCCTAGAAAAACAAAAATGAAAATAAAATAATGAAAGCCAGTCAGTTTCACTTTTCCAATAAGTCTTTTGTTGCGGTTGGTCCTGTCATGCAACAACTAGATAATTTGCACATTAAGCTCATTTGCAAACGAAGACGACAGTGCTCTCAAAGTATAGTTGCTTCCTCATCAAGGCTAACGAGCAGGAAATTTTTTAGTTACTGAGTACGTATTATCGATCATATTCATACCGGCAGCCGGAATATGCCGTTGTGCTTCGTAACAACGACGGCATGAAAACGACACTGAAAATAAATTTGCGCTAAATTAAAAGCTTCGCTCAATTCGTCAAACTTGGATCGCGAATTAATATTTTCCTGTAGTTGAATTCTGAAGGACCGCATCCAAGTTGAGTTTCAAGAAATCCTGGAAGATTAGTTCGCGGTGACGTGTTGTTCACGTCTTCAATAAAATGTCGCATATTTGGGAGTTCTCGTACGTAAAAGAAATGTACTAAAAGGTTCGGCTGTCAGCAGGCTTGGACCTAAAATTTTCGAGGTTTTACTAAAAATTGTTATATATATATATATGCACGTACCGAGCTGTTGCTCGCAACACCAATTGTTTTCGTTTCCATCTTCGTGGTGGTTAACAGTTCAAGCTTTTTAGCTTGTACATTTTTGTTTTCCCATTTCAGACCGCGTGATTATAGCCCAGAGAAAACTGGAGAACTGCCCAGTTTTTCAAATGTGCATCCAAGTACATTACGTAATATGAAAAATCAATGAAAAGAGAAAAGGCAATTCCCTTGAGAAAATTACGTGGTCTGAATTTGGAAAACAAAATATGTAAGCTAAAAAGCTCTCAGTGAAACTGCGAGCAAGGGGCTGGTAAGCGACGCAGAAATTTTTCATTTGCTTTTAAGTTATAAACCGCTAACAAATATACTGCTAAAGTAGGTTTTTAATATTTTGAGCGTGTATTTAATATTTCACCTGGAACAAATGTACCTTTAATTTTTTGCTAGGAAAACCAATCTACAAGAATTGCCCGGACAACATTCAGTTTTCTGGTGAAAGTAAAAGGTGACAACAACTTCAATAATTTTATTACATTTTTGTTCAGTAAACAACTCTAATGAAGCCAGGTACATGTCATGACATGCGCCTGGTGTTTAAGTTTTCGACGCGATTGATAATTCATGAGATATAGTGAGATGATCAGAGGACCTTGGATGTTTTGAGTTTAACAAAAACAACAACGATAATAATGATGATGATGATAATAATAATAATAATAATAATATTTTTTTTCAAAGTCAAAAAAACATGCTTTATTAAACTCTTCTCAAATTGAAAATTAAATACAAATTTAGTATAACTATAGTTAAAAAAGACTTCTTGGTGGTCTGGTGGTTTTTAAAAGAGCAAATGTAAACAACTGTCTATAAACTAAAAAATGAAAATTTCTATGTACATCCCAATAATAATAATAATAATAATAATAATAATAATAACGCACACAGACTAAGATGTTTGAGCATGTCCAAATATGGCCTGTTTACTTCGCGCCGCGATTCATTGACGTAAGGCGTTTGGCAGAGCTCTCCATCTATCGACAATTATTTTCATGTATGATGTAGTGATTTCCATAATTATCTCTTACTGATTCGTACTCACGTCTTTTTTTTTTAAGTAATGGAGATGTATGTTCTTTTCTGTTCGATTTTTATTTCCAATAAGTTGAAAAAGAAAGTAATGTTGACGAGTATCTCCAGCTATGCTGGTCATCTTTACTGATCAATCCCCGATCAGCTGTCTACCCTATATAGAGACAAGGATAGCTGCATGCAGGAGTAGAAATAATACGAAAACAATATACCCTGGTTTCACAAAGCACAAGACCCAATACCCTTTTTCAGAGCCAAACAGCTATTAAATTTATAACACCCAAATTTAGACCAAAGGTGCTCAAAACAAGTGACAACAACAACAAAAAAGCAGCTTTAAAAATCTTTCTAAGTTTATTTCTTTAATTCATTAGAAGGAAACCACTATTAGGCCATCACCTTTTTTTCGTTTAGTGTCGAATGCGTTTCCTGTTATATATTGGGTCGGTCGGTCGGATTGAAAAAAAAAAACCCTAAATAAAAAATCACAGGAAGTCTCGGAATAGGAGGCCTGGTACCCAGGCATCATTGCTGTGGAGCCTGGAAACATCAAGACAAGAAACCAAAATCAATATGGCGGAAAAGTTAGTTGATGTTATTGTAAAATTAAGACAACGTGGGAAAAAGGATCAACCACCGAAACTCCTATGCGACATGCAAGCATCCCTCACTTTTCAGCAACTGTTATTACTATCCTCATTTTTCAGATTAAAAGAATTATTTCATGTGAATAATGGTTTAACTACGTCTTCACTTTTTTTTGGAAAGTGCCAAAAATCTGGGTCGGTCGGACGACGCTAAATGAAGGAAAAAAAGAGGATGGCCATAGTAGAAGCATGCATGGGAAATAACATGACAACAAAAGCATCCATCGAAACAAAACGTACGTTAAATAATGTCTTTAAATAGAAACTATGCAAAACGGTTTCCTCTGTTACTACTTTTTTGTCTTTACATATTCATTTGCCTGCTGCATTCTCTAAAATAAACAACCTAATAAAGGTCACGAAAATAAAATAACGTTTTTGCGAGTTGCTTCTCTTCAGTTATTGTCGAACTTTAACCAGTTAACCATGGCCAGTTTATGTGAATGAAATGTGAACTAATCATCACTTAATGGCGTTAGTTCTCCCCCACCCTTACCTCTGGCTTCATCTATGCGTTTACCTCAAATCCATTCGTCTGACGGCGTTCATTGAGGCCACGTTCACACGACACTGGGCGAACTTTTAACCGGTTGAAAATTCGTACGCTTAGGTGTTCACACGCCGGCAACCACCCTAACCATACGAACATTTTGACGCCTAGTCGTTTAGATTTTCGTGTGAACAGCGCGAAAATATTGAACGATCCAGTGTGAACAAAGTGTCCGGTCAAATTTTTCAGCCAATCGAAAATTCGTGAACGTAGCTTTGGGATTCTTTGCTTCCGTTTAAAAGATGTTTAGTAGTGATTTCAAACCGACTGTTAAACACCGGTCGTCATCAAAAACAGATAATTGAAGTGACGAAGTGAGAACTTCAGATATAGAAGTTAAAATACTGACCACATGATAGACGATACGTCTTTTCATTGCACCACTAAATTGGCAACGCTTTGTTTATGCTGCATTGCAATAAAAATAATAATAGCGGCCTTAATCCGGATTATGTCAGGCAATCTTAAATGATACGTCCAAACGCGGACCTTAAAAATAACTTAAATACAGTACATTCAAATTCTCAATAATATTTCTTAATTTAATATTTCTTTCACTATCTGCAGCCTTGCTCAGCAGTGATTTTCTAGTTCTATATGCGTGCAATTATCGTTTTCGTCGTGCCAAACATCAGACTTTCGTGGATGAATGTTAATGCGCAACCCAGTTTTGCTTCGCAACATGAGTACAGTGAGCAAATCCTCCATTGGGACAACTTGGTCTGGTCTGACTTTGAGGTTAAATCTGTGAAGTACGTTGAAATAGCAGAGGATAAATAAATATAGAATAATTTGGGTGTTACACTTGCATATCGAATCAACGGAAAAAGAGGGGTATTCTTTTTATAAAAGCAAAGCTGAAATTATAACTAAGTATTCTCAGTCATCTTGTGTAAAATTTAGTCTATCAAATAATTCCATCAAAGGGAAAACAAAGTATGATCAGTTTTTGGTCATTTTACGACATAGTTCTAGTTTAATTCGAAAAGGTTGGCTTCAGTTTTTCAAGTTATAATCCATCTTCATCCTGGTCATCGAAAGGCAACCCTTTACGTTTAAAGGGACTGGTTCACGATAATGCGCATGTGTAAGTTCTGACAGTAGCTGATTGTTTTTCAACCAATCGGAAGCGAGTTAGATGCACGCAAGTAAATTTACAAAATTCAAATTAATTGTTCGCGACGCGAGAGTATTTCCGGGCATTTGGTTTGATTTTATTTATCCCCATAATTCAAGTTTATTCTTTGCTACTCCTCAGATATATGTTGCAGCCGATAAGAATAAGATTTACAGCCCTGTCCTGCTTTGAAACAAACATTTACCAACGTGTATTTTTACGAGGTCGTACCCACGCTAACAAAGCAGTCACCGATCGGCAAACAGAATTTGTAAACAAACATCTTATTACTGTTCTCTCAGTTCGCCTTATATAAACCCAGAAATACCTACAAATAGCGCCTGACCCGGTGACAAATACACACAACGTATGAGTATAAAGATTATCCTTAACTGAGCATAAATTTCAATTGCTTATTAGCAAATGAACAAATTCATTCGCGTTGCATCTGTTCAGTGTTCCGCAAAACAAATGTGATCGAGTAGCACAAATAAAGAAACTAGATTATAAACAGAATATTCAGGCAATAATTTATTTTAAAAATATCAACTCTTAAACATATACGATCGGAAAGCAAAGATACAAGGAACATTTCAAGTGTACCAGATCTGTGAAGATCGCGCGGCCTGTTGCGGTATAACTACAGGTCGGAGTCAAAAATCAAATCAAAGTTGAACGAACTCATGCCTTTAACCACTTTCCAAGTGTCGTGTATTCTTTTCGTAAGCCACACAGTACTCCTAGAACCATACCACATCGATAGGCTAAGCTTCTCTATCTCCAAAAACTCTTGAGAACGTCCTGTTGCCGGACGGCTACCATGCTCTTCTGAACCTTCAAGATCAAAACATTATTTTTTGCGTCTTCTCAAAACGTAACCAGTCAAACGACAAAACCACACGTTAATCACCACTACCGAAGTATAACTAGACCAGCCAAAGCGACGGATGTCCGAATAAAACGAAGGATTTTCAATGATTGTACCGGTAATGGCGATTTCGAATTTAGTGTTGACCCAACAAATTTATTCTGAAGAGACAAACGGCGCGCATGCGCATTATCGTGAACCAGTCCCTTTAAGAGTAATTCAAAATGTACGTGTTCTCTTATTTCAGAGTTTTGTTTGATTTCACAGTGTTTTATTTTGACATAGCTCCTTGAGGCGACCTTGCGCAAATGTCTTTTGCTTTTCCGACCTCTAAAGGCAAACATCGGCCTTAAGCGCATGGCCTTCTGGTGAGGTTTCTGCGCATTCTTGCCGCTAAATGAATGACTTGATACGATCATCGGTGAGACCATAGAGCTGAATCGCATGATCGCTGAGACACTGAGATTTCACACCCACGCCCTCATAGCCTGCGAGTTAGGAGCCCAATTTTCCTCTTTCTCGGTCTATCATTCCGACGCTTCCCAAGAGACAACGGTCCTTCAGTTTCTACAGAGTAAGCAAACCTATGGTTTGGGTATTACCGTAAATGATCGATTAAGCACCGCGGCGCTTATTTCATTTTCCCTGATATGGGTGCGGCCCTTATTTCATCTACGGGTAAAACACTGAGGGGAATATAGAGAGAATTAAGGGAGGTGGGTACTAGGTATGCACAGTTAAGTCTAAAATATGTACACCTGGAACTGTTACATGAACCGGAACCGGGTTTCAAGAGGTTCCCTGCATTAAAACTTTAGAGCTCACGAGTTGGTCGAGTTCTTATTTCTCAAGCGATATAGTTTTTACATCTCTTAATATCAAGCACCGTATAAAAGGTGGGGCGTTAATTTGTAAATACCCAAACTACCGCTGCGGCGCTTATTAAATTGTTTTCGGTATAGGTGCGGCGCTTATTCGAGAGTGGCGCTTAATCGATCATTTACCGTAGTTCATTAACATAAGCCTTCTCTAGAGAATAAAAATGACTAACCGTTGAAGAATCATTGCCAGGGTTATCTTAATTTCCGCCATACCGAAGTACTGTCCTATGCAATTCCTAAAAAAAACAGAGACTTTTTTCAGTAAGATAACTTACAATATGGACTAACTAGCTACGCATAAAGATAAGTCACATTTGATTTATTGCGGCTCAGTTGTTATACAAGTTATACAAGTACCTTAGTCCTGATGAAAATGGAATAAACGAGTGGGACGGCCTGCCTTTGGATCTTTCTTCTGTAAATCTTAACGGATCAAACTCCTAAAAAAATGTATGTATTTGATGTTATCTAATGAGTATATAAAGTGCTGACCGAAAAAAACTATTATTGACTCGTTCTTATCTTTCTGCACACGTAGTATCCGATGAGGAAATGACTTATTTCCATACACCTGTTTAGAGCAGTTATATACCAAAACATTAAAATTTTGCAAATTTGCATCAAGAAGGACAGTCGAGCAAAGGTGAAACTGAGGTTAATATGCAAAAGGATATAACTACCACTGCTAATTGACCTAATGTCATGATCACGAGTTGATTAGCACAAACAAAAATGTTGTAATGTTATTGCGCGTTCATTTTAAACTGAGATAAACTCTAAATTTTGCTCATCTTTTATTTTTCTGCGCAAGAACTTGTGACAAACCTACATTGTCTTGTTATTACTAAGCCTTTAATTTGTCATTCGCTGATATGAAGAACCCAAAATAAACCAACAGTTTGGGCTTACCACACTGGCTTTCAGTTGTCGAGATACATCTCTTTAGTTTGACCCTCAAACCTCGGGACACTCGACCCTCGACATAGAACCCTGACAACCCTAGCCTGTTCCAGGCTCTCTGATAGTGGGAAAGACGCGAAAGTAAAAGGCACGCGAAAAGTTGGTGGGGCGGGAAAAAAAGGAAAAAAGGAAGGTAAGGCTCCTCCTCTCCCCAGTTTATTCCCATTTTATTTTCGTGTTCGCTCTTTCTCAATTCGGCGGACCCGACAATCTCGGAGCCCAGAACAGGCTATGACAACCCTCGATCCTAGGCCCTAAACTCCTTTAAATTTGATCTTTGTAGTTATTGGTTATGATTTCGTGGTAATCTTACCTCAGGATTTTCCCAGACATGAGGGTTACGATGAAGAGCAAATATATTAACGTACAAAAAGGTACCTGCAGGAAGACAAAAAGATACTCACTGAGATTCTAATTCGGAAATTTACGGCCAAGTATTAAAATAAAGACTTGTAATTTAGCAACTAAACGTCAAGATAAAGAGTTTTAAAAGTTTGTAAGTCTTATGCGGTAGAAGCATGTGCGCGGCAATTGTTTTTGAACGATGAAACTTAATTATGATCACTGAGTGTTCTTAAAGGCGCTGCAGTGCCACGGTTGTCCAGGTTATTGTTTTTGTTAACCTGTTTTCAACACTAATTTTGCTTTCTTATTAGCTAAGGATCTTGAGAAATCACTTGTGAATCACTTTGTACACAATCGCAGCTTCTTGTCAAACAAACACGTCTCCCAAGCATTGTGTTAAACATTACAATCAATAAAAATCTTAAACTTTGAATAACTGTTAGGTAGACAAGTTTTTAAGTTTTCCCATCCCTTTTCTTTTAACGTTTTGATCGGTTATTTTCATGTTTCACTCAATTTGGTGGCAGCTACCTCTGCTTGAATTTTGACACAACGACGTAAATATCAATTACAACTACGTAATCAAAAGCCAAAGGTTAGATAAAATGATTAAAGAATTATTGAATAAAAAATACCTTTGGGAACTGTCCTGTCTTGTACATTGTAACTTTTGTCCGATGAACGGCAGATTATAGGAACAGGCGAGTACAATCGCATTGCTTCGTTGATGCACAACTTCAAGTATGGGGCATTCTGCAGGTCATTCCTATATCAAAGGAAAAAAAGTAAAAAAATTAAAGTTTGAAGGTAACCTTCTATATTTATGACTCCATACAAAAAATAATCCAAAACCAAATTGCACTTATAAAGTAATGCCTACAAAATATAAACTGTTTACGATCGAGCTTTCGAGATTAATCAAATTGACTGTTCGACGTAAGTATTCTCAGTAAATCATTCCTCTTAACTTTCCCGGGAGACTCAACACTTCATTCAGCATAGAAAGTCTTCTACAGTAGGCTTTCCTACGGAATACGGGACTTGCGAGTTATTTTGTCACCGGGATTTTAGCTTAAGACAGGTTTTCCTCACTAACTTTCTTGACCATGTTACTTGATCGTAACACTCTTTCTTCACGGAGGGGTGGGGGAAGGGGGAGGAGGGCTTTGTGAAAGGTTGTCTTATTAAAAGGACAAGGGCGATACTTGGAAAAGTAGAATTGAGCCCTATACTAAAGAAGACCAATCTGGGCATGTTCCTAAAGAAGTGTATTTTAGTCAAAACTGGAACCTCTGTAAAGAACTTAATTCCTCGATCAACTCATGTGTGGAAGTATGGGATAAGAAGATAAAAATGGTCGGGATTATGGGATAATTGAGCGAAAATTTTTGTCGAGATTTCGAGAATAAAGAATAAAGAATCAATCGGCCATCGGGATGGTGAAGCTCCTGCATGGGTTACTGCTTTGTAAATATGGCGGACAACAGGCCTACCGGTTGATATATAGTATTGAAGAAGCTTAGTTCCATGGCGTTGGAAAAAGTACAATATCCCTCAATACTCCTCCAAATGTTTGCAAATTGCTGTGATGCAAAAAAATGCAGTTTTATGTGTTGCGCGCTTGACTGTACGTAAACTTCGCTTACTCAATAGTGCTTGGCCTTACCACTGTAGCTCCTTGTTTTGTTTAAATATGCTATCAATTTCTTCTTGGCACTTTTTCTGATGTTCTGGATGAAGCGCTAAACAGTATAAAATCCAACAGATTGCTGCAAATAATAATAATAAATAAATGTAAAAACAAAAAATTATCAATGTTCTTCCAATCTGTAATCTCAAATAGAACAAGCATGTCCCTTCAGATTGGTAGTAGTAAAACCATTCCTCTTTCCCATTCATTTGGACAGGCGATTTGTTTTGGAGGATTTTACAAGTTTTAACTCGGAAAAAAATGAAAACTATTGTTAGTTTTGAAACCTAAAAAGAACTTCGACACAACCATCTAGTGGCCGATTCACCCAAAAAAGTGGCTGATGCACGTGAAAAGGAAAGAGAATCGGACCTAACGGTGGACTTCTCACAGAAAAGCCTTGTTCATCACAGAGCATCTTCTCCTTCCTCTAGCCCCTCGCCTATGTTTTTTGCCATCAGTGCTTGGCTTGCAGCCACAGCCAGTTTCCCGCCATTTTTAAAACAGTAAAAGCAAGCGAATTTTTGTTTGCTGTAATTTTCGCAAAGTGTTGACGCCAGCAAAATTATTATTAAGGATAGAAAAATATTTATAAAATAAGAGATTGTTACCACTCGTGACTGTGTCCAGGCCTGCAAACATGAAAGTTCTGACCTCTGCTCGAACCTCCTCGTCTGTTAAACTGTGTTCGTTGTCGCGCTAGAAAATGCAAACATGATAATAAACTTTTGATGCTAGACGAACGTTAATTTCTAATTTTAGACCTCTACGGAGAGATAGAGAGAGGTGGATTTCGACGTCCACGGTTTCAATCTCTTAATTTTAAATTGTACTTACATACAGTTAGACTATATGAGATTACCTTAATTTTCGCAACGCATACTTACTAGTTTTTCCTGATGAGAAACATTTGAGATTGAAACTAAGGAGAGGCAGCTCAGAGGGTTGTAAATTCAAGGTTTTCAAACTGAAACAAACAAAAGGCGACAAATACTGGACTCGTACCTTTGCCTCCAGCAAGACGTCAAGGAAGTCGAAATGATCTTGCCTTCTTATTTTTTCCCTCTCTGGCTGAAAAACATGAACGCAACAAATGACAGGCAAATGATCAGTTGATGCAATTCACACATTCATTAGGCCTATAGTGGGATAATCCATCAATCACCCCAGCTATTCAGTTAGTGGGCCAATTAGCGAAGAAGTGCATTGTGGAAAATCAAGTAATCTTTATGGAGTTTTAAGATATACCTGTTCCGAAAGATTCTTTTTCCTTTTCCTGATAATCTCGTCCGCTTTACGGGCCACGATACTGGAATTGCGTTTGAAATTTATTCCTGCAGGAGTCAGGTTATAGATGAAATCAAACTGGTACAATGGACTTCTACAAATAAGAAGAAAGGAAGGAAAGAAAAGAGTAAGCGACACTCTTAAGAAACTTTTAGTTCTACAGTGTTTTACTTGCAGAAAGGGAATAACATCCCGTTCACGAACCAAGAGAGGCTCAACAAGGCTCACTGGAAAATCTGATAATGAAATGTCCATAAATCGTGAATTCACAGACTTTTTATAAGAGTGCAAATCTACCCTACTTTTGCACACGGAATACAAAATGTCTGTAGAATCATTTTTGCATAGACATTTTATAATGTTTTTTATATCTTTACTTCTAGAATGTTTATAAAATGACTGTAAATTTTAGAAAGTCAGGCGGCAGTGTATGTGAAATTTCAGACGAAAAAAACTTAACCGAAGTAGGAGGCAGCTACAGTTAGGGTGTCTATGGAAACATTTTTACGAAAAACTATAAAAAATGATGTGCACATAGACTGAGCGAATATTTTGATAATCGGTTTTTAGTATTTTTTAGATGATCTTCCCATCTAAGCTCACAGTGATTACTTACGAAAACCTGTCCATGATTGCTTGAGTATTTTCATGAATCGCGGTCATAAACGCGTCGGGCGTGCTGACGAAGAAAAAAAAAATGAGATAAACATCTGCCGCAATTTGTGGCGTCCAACAGCTTCTTTTTGCATGCGTGTAAAGTGGCAGGATAGAAATTCTAAGTATTTGTACTTGTAATTTGTTTACCCACAGAGCACTTAAGAGTTCTTATAAGAACTCGCTGATACGTGTCCGCGCGTTCCAGATCGAACTGGAATATGGAAGTGTTGGTTTTTAGGTAGAGGGGAAAACCGGAGTATCCGGAGAAAAACCTCCCCGTGCAAAGGAAGAGAACCGACAACAAACTAAACCCACATATGGCGTCGAATCCGGGAATAGAACACCGGCCACATTGGTGGGAGGCAAGTGCTCTCACCACTGCGCTGCCCTCGCTCGATTAGTATCACTCTTTTCTTAAACACGTGCTCCAAAGTGTACGCCTGTGGACTCTAATACTCCTGGAGGTGCGTAATCAATGAATAACAAGCCCAAAATCTTCACTGGATGCCTGGTAGAGAGGTAGTTGCACCCCAAGGTCTCAAGGCTCCTTTATATTTTTCCAGATCTGCTGGCCGCTACGAAAAAGGCAGGGATACTTATCTTTTGACTTGGCAATCACTCCAGTAGCTGAAGGCGCACTTCAAAATGGAGTCCAGCGTCAACAATCCAATGTCTTGAAACAGCTCAATCTCTCCATCTGGGGAGGACGACCATTTCCCCTGAAAATATGTTCAAGAAATTACCCACATTACAACCTAATTCAGAAAGGGCATTCTCTTTGAAGATACTAGGTAGGTAGATAGATAGGCAATACTTTATTTAAAAAAAATTTCAAATCACGGGAGAAACACGCTGGCGCCACATGTCTAGTATAAGAATTTTGTTGAAGTTTGCAAGAAAAAGTGGAAATCTTTGAGATTCTTAGAAAATGCGACGCACTTTGAATTTAAGACACCTGGAAGCAGTTAGATCGATCGGTAGAATGTTATAACCCACTGTAATTATGGTTGTGGAATATTGTGATTACATTTGCGCAGTTCTTACCAAAAGAACTTCTGCTGATTGCTGAAAGACCTTCATGTAGGATTTGATTGTTTCGATGTGGAAAGCAGGTGTTAAGATCTTTCTTGTACTTTTCCATTTTGCGCCATTTTGGAGACCAAGGCCTAGGCCTAGAAACAACAACAACAACAACAAATAAAAAATGCAATGATAAAAGTAACTGTTAAGGTAATAATAATAATGATAATAATAATAATAATAATAATAATAATAATAATGATGATGATGATGATGATGATGATGATGAAGGGCCTCTAAGGATGATCTATCTTCGCATAACTAGTCCGGCTATTTCGACTTCGTATAATGGTGAGATCTTTCGGTATTTCATGCTGTTCTAGACTTCGCATGCCTTGTCAATTTCCTTCTGTAGACCTAATGCGCTTGTACGACCACCAATTGCCGAAGCCCTTTTTAATATCCCAAAAACGAGAAGTCCAAAGACTACTGCAAAGCTGATCTTAACAACGCATATTGCTTTTACATATTAGCATTCCGGCTGGCCATACCACCTTTTTTTAGGTTTACAGATGTTAAATAATATCTGTAACGTCATTTCGTTTTTTGGTTCTTAATATTTTAGCTGATTCGATCTCTTTTGCAGAGATCCAACGTTGACAACCAGCAGGATCTTTGTCCACGGTTTTTGCAGTTTGAAGCAATTAGTTTTTGATATTTTGCAGTATTTCAAAACGATTTTGCCTTAAGTGGGAAGCCTTTGATCTTCTCTACAAGATGAGGTATATTTTATAAATAATTACTGTACATCATTTTATCCACAAGCATGGAAAAACATACATTTTGACTCAAAAATGGCTTGACCACCTGCTACTTATGACATCATATCACGAAACCATAGTAACTGACCATCACTAAACTTCAAAATGCGCGTGAAGGATAAATGAACAGCTACAGAAAACATCCGGTGCTGATGTTTTATCGTCTAGGAAAAAAATCAGAAAAACCTTAGGGGAGTGGCAACCCCCCCCTCCCCCGGCCGAGGGTTAATACAATGACGCTCAAAATGACAAAATATTAAAAGACTTAAGGCTACTAAGCTTAGTATATTTTTGCATCCTGCTGTTACCTAAAAATGGTGAAAGGAGGCGACAAACTGATTCTTCTTTAAAAGTGCTTTGAAGCAATGGTTTCACTGTATCAGGATGGCAGAGGACCAGCGCTGACTTAGTGGGTCCAAACCAAACTCTGTAAGCTGTTTTGTATTGCTTTGTACACTCCAAGTGAAACAGGAGACCGCGTCCATCAAAGGTAGCCTGAGATCAATAAAGGAAAAGTAATCATCGTTAGTGTTTAATAGAATGATGCATAGGCCCCGTTCACACGAATCCGGAGTTTTTTGAAACCGCATATGTTTGTGTGTGTATGTGTGTGTGTGCGTCCACACGAAACCAGTGAATCCGCTCACCGGACCTCTCTCCAGATTACCCAGTTCCACGTGTGCACGATTGAAACCCTGTTCGAATTAAATGAACTAAAAAATGCCGTTTCTACCTGTCTGTATTCGTCGTGTGGACGGGGATAGTTTCTCGGGTAGACTTTTCTGTTTGTTTTCCGGCTCGAGTTTACTTTTTGCCTTCCGAATGCACCAGCTGAAACGGTGAACGTCTGCAACACGCTGTATCACGGGTGACTTGTTTGTAGGGCATGAACTTCACGGCATACCTTTCTCGACCTGCACTATTTACGGGGTCTGGAAGGTTATTTTCGGGATCCGGAAAAATGCAAAATATTTTATCGGGAAACAGGATTTGACTGCAACACGGGAAGCGGGATTCACAAATATTTGGACAGGGGATGCGGGATTTTTAGCTTTCCGTCGGGAATTCGGGAAATCGTCACGAACTAAAATGTACTTTCTAGTGGGAAAAGCGGATCAACCAGGCGAGCATTCAGTGGTGTCTCCAAGCCAAGCAAACAAAAGAGTGACCTGGTCAATGTTTATCTAGTTGTAGCCTGTTCCAGGCTCCGAGATAGTTGAGCCCGCGGAATTGAGAAAGCGCGACACTTTCGCGTCTTTCCCCCCTATCTGAGAGCCTGGAACAGGCTAATCTAGTTGAAACTGATTCTTGATGCCCTTAATTAAAGCCCCACTGATTCAACTGAATGCCAGGGAAGTGCGCTCTTGATGCTAGATGCCCTTACTTGCCCAAGCTCTTTAAATTTATTGTAAATCTTAAAGGACTTCTCATTTCATGCGTTTAACTGAGTTTAGATATGGCAAAACAGTGATCCCTGCTCCGCTCCCCTTAATGAGACAATCATAGTTTTGATGCGCCTCTTTCTTGCGGCCACAGGCGAGTCTTCTAGCGCCAGCAAGCCTAGCCTGTTCCAGCGTTCAGATAAAGGAAACGACGCAAAGAAAAGTGAGCTCCAAAAGAAATGGAAGGGGTGAGGATAGGGTCAGAGGGGGAAGAAACCCTCCTCTCTCCCTCTTCCTTTCTTCCACTTTTTCTCTCTTTTTCCCTCTGCTCTCTATACCTCACGCCACTCTCCACTAACTGAACTTCTTGGACAGGCTAGCCCCACAAGCAACGCTAATTAATTTTCCGCTACGCAACGAACATAAAGAGCTGTAAACTGGGGGATTCCAGAGGCAGTATTTAAGGTCCAAGCGTTAGCTAAAACCACAAGGAGTAATCGCCTAAGAGAAAACCCCGAGGTCACGATTGCTAGAGTGCAAATGCAGGTATTGGCGTTGAAATTTTTCCTTTATGAGAACACAAGATGCTTTTTTGACTACGAGTTTGACTCACTTATCCATGAAAACGTGATGCTCCAAGGTACTAGTTACTTTTTGATGTCAGAGCGCACAAGTGCAGGACGACCTATCATGCTGTTATATCGTGCTCTTTCGTCATTTTGAGGAATGAAAAGCTATTTCTGTTGTGCAATGGCCTTAAGATGTGCATAAATTCCAAACATGTATAATATTTATATCAATTAAAGGGGCCGATGTACGTCTTTCATTAATTAGCCTTTAAATTAATTTTTCTAAGCGATGAAAACAAGCGGGACACGGGATTTTCGTAAAAAAGGACCGGGAATGCGGCGGGATCAGACCCCCCTCCCCCACCCCTGCCCCCGCCCCCATCCAGACCCTGTTTTAGGGCAGATGAGGACATAACGTCGGTGAGACTATCGCGTACACGTACTTTAGCTCTGACGCGAGGAAGTAATAAAACAGCGATGTAAATTTTAATGGACATACTGTGCTTTTGCGGTTGCGACTCTTCTTTTCAGTTACTGCACGTATTCATTTGCCCTTCAGACAGGTATTCTATAAATGTAGCGATCGTCATACAAACGGAATCTTTCATATTCTTATCTGGAACTTTATTTAGCTTTTGACTTTCCTCTGGAATGTAAAGAACGCAGTCTTATCTGGACTGGTTAATTTCAGGGCAACTGAAGCCAACGCAGGCAAAACAGAGTGTACGATCAAGAGAAATGGAGTCACGTACACATTGCAAGGATACCAAACTTAATACAGAGAGATAAATGCTTTCACCTTCCTTAGTAATTAAATTATAATAATGATATCAATTTTGCTGGCAACACTGTATTATTTCAGTAGTACACACCGAAGAATTAGGTATTCTGACGGCATGGCTAAAAAAAACATATTTCCAGAAGAATCTTTCATCTCCCTCTCTAGATCTTAAATTAACCTGAGGGATGTGTCGCTTAACTAAGCTGGTGGCGCCTGCGCATTAATTTCTACTGGTGCGCGCTGAGTCTGTGGTATGCAAGGAACTCGGTTTATTCGCTTTGTTACGTTGTTGTTCCAAGTAAATGTGTTGCATATTATCGCTCGTGTAACGATATCGTTACCCAAACCGTGATTGAAATGATATATTGCTGACGACGTACATGTAGAATGATCATCACCAAAATATGTTTAATTTACTCAATTATAGTTATTTCAAAATACGATAAACTGGCCTACATGATATTGCCAATAATCTGTGTTAATGCTAATAAGGTGAAAAATGGAATGTAAAACCTTGTCTATGGAAAGTGCCCCTTCACTTTATAAGCGAAAGTTTGCACGTAATATAACTTCAATTCGGTCGTTTTTTGACAGTTCTTTGAGTATCATTAAGGACATGTCTACTGAGAAAGGGATTATAAATACCTTTATTACTGACCGTGTATCTAAAGATTTAAATTTGTAGTGTCTAGAATTACTCAAAGTTCAAGCCTTCAAGTCTAAAGATGCCTTATTTAACAGCCATATTAAATACAAGGAGGACAAAAGACTAAAAGTTTACGGACAAGGGAAGGAAGGATAAAGGGCAAACAATTGATATTGACAATCAAAAATTATGTTTAGACAAAGGCTAATTGTTGTCACTGTTGTGCAATGAGTTCACTCTGATATAATCCGGCATTAAAAAGAATTAAAACTAGCACCTAAGCTCATACAAAAGCAACATCAAAACATTTTCGCCCTCTAGGATTTTAGCTCATCAATGGCATGAAAAAAGGGCATGTAGACTGGGCTTTGCCGGCACATAGCAAAGCGTTTCTGAGGCGAGTTGAGCTGAAATGCTCTGACACCCATCACTCGGGTGGGGGATACTTCCATAGACGGGATAGATAGGGTATGGTTTTTGAAGGCCTAAAACCTTAAATAGCCTGGCAACATTTTTGCCCTTGTTGACATTATGTTCCTGGTGTGATCCATAGCTAGGGTACCTAAATTGTATCTTCCGCTAAAATTCAAGTGTTTTAAACGCCCAGCTGGATAAGAAACAAGCATCTGTTAAACTGCCGGATCTATCCCTAAGAGTATTATGATAGCCATTCTGAATGAACGTTTATGTATTGCAATTTGAATTGTTAGTTTTTGTTTTCCTGAAGAGGGAGTAATTTTTCGGGTTTGGGCCTTAAATTGGGTGCAAATTTTTGTTTGTCTTATCCTTAAATTTGGTCATCGTTTATGACCGTGGGCGACACAAGCCTATCCGTTATTTATGGGAGTAAACTCCCCCCCCCATAACCCGTCAATACATTATGAAGTCTATGAACAATTCTGTATTCAACCAGTTTATTAGAATGTGGTTAAACAGGATCAATTTTTGAAGCAAGGACCAGCTTACAAAAAAGAAGGACTCGGAATCCTAATGAAGGATCTAATCAGCAATGAGTGAAAATCTAAAACAAAAGAAGCAAGGCTGATTATACAGTCGGGAATATATACATGTATTCCCGACTGTATAATCAGCCTCGCTTTTTGTTCTATGGTTAAACAGGACATGGCATTTTTTTGAGCCTCCTATCTCCCTTAAGGCACCTTTTTTACTAACCCCTTGGACCTTTTCCTTCGCCCTCTACTGTTCATAGTTACAAGGCTTTTAAATTAAGGAAGCTTTACGGCTGCTCCAATCATTGAGCTTTAACTTCCCCTTTTTTCTTCCATATAAGAAAATGGCTTTCGAGGTTAGCAAATCTTTTAAAGTGACTGTGGAACTTGTGTTCTTACTCTCAAGCGCGTATATTTATTTGCATGCATGACGTCCGACGTCCGTGAGGATTAGAAATAGATGACGTCGCACGTCGGGATTTTTATAAGTGCTAAAGTTTTTCTGCGTCAGTATCAGCGAAAATGTAAATGTTTTGCTTGTCGTTTCAGTCGATTTCAGCATTTTCAGCACTTCCTTCATCCTCGAGGGGACTACTCTTTCTGATATCCTATGCAGGGAGGCTCCACCCGAAAGGGGAAAGTTTATGCAGATGCTTCTGGTAAGGCTAGAAGTTGAGTGTATGAAAGGGATAAGCGCTGGTATTTAAGAGGCCTTTAATTACAATATTTCCACTCAGACGCAAGTTATGGCCGTATGAATTTTAATTATTTATAAGAAAAGGCGCCTTTTTGTTTTAGTGATTTATTCATAAGTTTTGGGTATTTTAATACAAACTGTACAGAAAGCGTATTTTCTGTTAAGGGTAAGGTATGTGGAGTCCTCCCCCTCCCCCTCCCCCGCGCTTTCACCTCTGAGAAACGTTTTTATTCGAATGGGAAACGTGGACAAAGTAATCAACAGGAAACGTGGCCAAAGGTCAAAAATGTGACAGATAAATAATGCTGAAAATTGACCTAAAACTTCCCGAGGATGAAAGGAAGAGATAACAGAAATATCTGCTTGTTTTTTTGGTAATTTGTTTTGTATTATTTTCAGTTTTTTTCCTGGTTGCAATTAACCTCTTAACACCCGCACGTACATACTGAAAAAAATCCAATAACAAGAAATTAAAAAATACACAAAATAACACAACAAAAATAAGAACATTTTCTGACTCTTCTATTATCCAAATTTATATAAACTGTAACTTTACCAGTATCTTGCGTTTTTAACTTATTTTTCTGTCTTTCATTTCTTCTGTCTTCCTAACAATTCGAAAGCCATCAATAATCAGTCGGCTACTCGTACACGCGCGAGCAATTAAGAAATTACGGCGGTGGCGAAGAGTCTGTGTGGCATGCGAGTGCACGAACGGAAAAGGTAACTGCACATGTGCTTTCAAAGTACTGATTGATCTAAACGGAAGCGGACTTATGCTGGTGCACATGCTTCATTAGGTGCATTTCCTGTGCAGGCAGAATAATGGAACAATTCGCAATCTCTTCGTTTAAGCATGGATTGTTTCAAATAAATGAGCTTGTGCGACACTTATTAGTTAAACAGTATATCCATGAACTTATTATAATATCTTAATGTTTACCACGAATTCAATGTTTCGAATTCTAACCATGTGCCCCTCTAACCGAGGACGGACCTTGTTTGCGTTGTTCTATGATTCGGGTTAAGTACGCACACGTATTTAACGCTTGTGGAGACAAATGATCAAGACATCATATAGTCGACATGCCAGGCTGGAAACTATGATTATTAAAATACGTAAATGTTGCTCGTTTACACATCACCTGATCAAGATGTCCCTTGAGCCAGTGACACTGCGGACCATCAAATCCTCGCACTTGACTGTAAGCCTTCAAAACAACCAATGCTGAAAAAACAGCGAGGCTCAAGACAGCGACAGCAGCCAAGGACGCCAAAAGTAGGTACGGTTCTCGAGCACTGGAGAGCAGCCACTCCAAATCCCCAAACATTTCTGATCAATCGATTGCGTGCTTCGAGTCTGTTCACGAGGACAAAGTGTCGTTGACTGGTCAATCAAGTGATGCCTAGGAATTTATAAGATGCGGATCGATTGAAACGAGAGAGGAGATTGAACGGCTTAAACGTTACGCGACATAAGGAAAAAGTTCACTTGTTGTGATCATTCTGGAAGCTTAAATATCAACTTCACCCACGTGCCTATCTCTATTAAGTTAGATCACTCATTGCCGCTGTCGGAGTCAGAAAAGGGCGGTAAAGTTTTGAAGATAAAACGACCCACTTCATTTACGTACTCTCTAAGGTCCTCTAAAAATGTATCTTATCATTTGACATACTCAATCCCTATTCTGTCACCGCACCGCTCTACCAATTACCCTTCAATTGGGCAAATATTTGACATCAGAATATGAAATTTTAACCAATCCTTTGGGAGAGGGGTCTGCCCCACAAACCTGTTATCCTGATGCTTGAGCTGCAGCTATGCAGTTCTCCACGAGTAGCACCTTATCTAAAGAACCCATTTCCGTGAATGCTATGGAATGCAAGCTCCCCTACAGAGCGTCTGATTATCAGGAGCGAGTCCATTGGATACTGTGTACCTCCAAACAACGTGGAATTGATCTGAAAACGTTAAGCTGTTAGAAGGACGACCTGTGTTCTTGAATACTTCCTTAAAAACTGAACGAGAGAGTGTGAGGAGACAAGACAGGACTCACGAGAGTTATCGGTTCCTTTCATGTGTAAAGGGTATATCTACTGACACCTGTCATATACTGACCCAGCCCATGCGCACGACCATGACCGATCGGTAACATGAAGCAGGGATGAAGGGATGTGGAAATATGGCTGAAAAGTAGAATACCATATCTCTCAGGGGCACCCAACGAGGATATAGTTCAAAACCACTTAACATAGCATTGTTGAACGTATTTTAGTATTTAAACGGTAGATATAGGCATATTTTTATCCCCTAAAAACTTTTCATCTGTTCGGATTTCCTAGCTGAAAGTCTAGTGATTCGAAAATTATAGGGATCCAAACTTACCTTTTCGAAAATTTCAGCCAGGAAAAGGCTCCCGAAAATTCTAGGTGGCCTTTTTTAGGGTAAATATCCGTTTAAAATGGGTAATTATACCATTTTGTAGATGTTCGAAAATCCTAGGAGAGGCAGGCAAGCAAGAAATTTTACAACAAATGTTCCGAAAATTCTAGTTCTCAAATCGTCTTCCGAACAGATGTTTTCCCGAAAATTGCCGTTGGGTGCCCCTGATCTCTGTATCTTGGTCTCAGTGCATACACTGGGCATGAGCCAGCTGCAAAAAGTTAACTAGAAACCTCTTGTTTAAACTTTCATAGTAGATCAAACAGATCTTTCAAACCGGCTTAATCACTGAACAGAAACCGATGACATAAATATTGAACGGCCTTAGCAAAAGGTTAAACAGGCGAATGGCCGAAACGCAGAACGGAAACACCAACTAAACGCTTTGTTTTTATGAATCAAAGTGGTCTGTTACAGCAGGGACCGTGTAACTATCTAGAGATCACAATTACAAGATAAAACAGGACATGTGCAACAAATGTGCTCAATCATGGTCCAAATATCGTCGCAAAATGTACGGCCGGAAAATCGCAGTGTTTATTTGTTTATTCACTGATTTGCGTTAAGTATCTCACTGTCGTAAATAATAGCATCTTGTTTCATTGCTGTATATTTTCTCGTGTCATACGTCATCTATGGCGAAATGGCGCGGGCAGCGAGGTACTCGGGAACGTGCAACGTAGCCTTTTTCAAAGCCTGGTGTTTTTTAAGATTATTAAAATCCTAATCCCCTTGCTAGTATCTTTCTTCGTATCTTAAAGTTTTATTTGGCATATAATGTATCGTGAAAAGTGCTGTTTTGATCTCTTTAAACGGACATCAACAGTCACTCGAAACAAATATAGAGCTGTCCGGTACAATTGCCAAGAACGACAACTTATGTGCAGATTTAGGATAAATCCTGTTTGCTAATAGGAGATCAGCCAGTTTTATTACCACTAGATCGCGCTCTTCCAATGTGCCAATTATTTCAAAAATGCCAGTACGGAACCTCTAATTAAACATTGGGTGATTGATACGCAGTAAATGCAGTTAAAGCAATTAAAACACGAACTCAGCCGGAATCGCCACCTGGCGTAAATTCACCTTAATTGCTTGCTTATATGCTCTGTATGCCAAGTTTGTCAATGTCGAAAACGGGTCCGCCGAATCAACTTGTGACTTGCCACCACAAAAGTGTCTCTGTTTATTTGTTCCTGGGTATAATTTCCAGCAATGTAGGAGCTGCTCGTAAGGTGTTTCCTCACTGGTCGCAAAAACCGATAACACATCATTGATAATCATTTTTTCCCATAGCAGTTACGGTTAGGGTATCGAACCAATTGGCTTTTAGGGCTAGGAGAGCTGCTACATTTTGGAGTTTCTCCTCTGCGTGACTAAGGGTTTAAGTTAGTTTTATACCAAAATTAATTCCAATTTTAAAAAAGCAAGCGCAAAACTGGCTAGGACGTTTGTCCTCATTGGTGGTCCGAGCTGCTCCTGATTAGCCCCGCAGGGCTTCGTGATTGCCGACAGCCCCAAACTCGCCCACAAGTTTGAGGCGTTGCATATTTTCTTTTGCGGCAAAAATTGGTGATCCCTCTCTTGGGGGGGGGGGGGCACTCACGGACAGTTTGGGTGGAGGTGTGCCGCCGTTGATTGATTTTAAGCTAAATTGTTAAGCTACCATCATCGAATCAGATTTTTGGGAAAAATTATTGGTACCACAAATTCGCCAACCTTCACGTTTTTTTTAGGCCTTCCGGCCAAAAAGACATCCTGTTGAAGACACCAGATAGTGAAATCGTATACCCAGTTTACGATTCAAGACCCTGAACTCAATATCCCGCTTAGCAAGGGACTACCGCCTGGGGGGTAAATTATCTCAACCCGCTACTCACTATACCACATTTTTCGGAATGGAAGTGCTGCACTTATTTACTGTCCCGGGGGGGGGTACTCTCATACAGTAACTATACGGTTATGTGCCGCCCAACGGGGTCGTAATTTTGAAGCTTCTGGTTTAGAACGGGGTATCCATTTCAGAGGCGTTTTCTAGAGCGGGGTATAATTTTTTCGAACGCACGAAAGCTCCAGTTTTGTAAGCAGCCATTTGAAATTATTCAAGGACAGATTGCTTTTAAAAATACGGTTCAATGCGTTAACAAGCAAACTGTTATACTCTTGTTGCACCCTAGAACGGAGTATAAAAAATTGGCCCATTTCTAGAACGGGGTATCAGTTTTAGGGCGAATTCTAGAACGGGGTATAAAAAATTGGCCCATTTCTAGAACGGGGTATCAATTTTAGGGGAAATTTTTTTTAGAACGGGGTGCCAATTTGGAGTCCCGGGCGGCACATACCCACCCAAAAAATACCCAAGTGCCCCCCCCCGGGTTTACTCTACTATACAAGAGTGATTAATTCCAGTTAGCCTTTCAGCTAGGCTGAAAGTTTAAATGTTTTTTTTCTTGTGGTGTGAATTTCAACTCAAATCGTTGATCTATGAGGACTTTCCAAATATCGACTGACATCACAATTAAAGCTAGCTGGTTTGAGACCACTTGTTCTCATCACGACGCGCTAACAAGTTCACTTCTTTTACCTGCACAGTCGCCCCCCCCCCCACATACACACACACACGTGTAGGTTATGCATTATCAGTTCATGACAAAATTCTTTGTGTGAAGTTCAGCCATAAGGGTAATTGCAATTTTTGCTTAGAAATCTTGCAAATGTGCAAACATGATTTCAACACTCAGTCTGATGTTTTACAGGCTGATACGTGTCACTGTGTGTAATTTTAAAAATATCGAAATTTAGCTGAATTGAATTATCAACATCCAGGAAGTCCTCAATTCGATTTAACCCAACTGAGCGTTATACAAGCTGAGATTTACTTCAGCGGTCTCTGCGGTGTACTCGGAATTCGCCTACATTCTCGGCTTCACATGGAGAACCTTTTAAAAACCTAAATAATCTTAAATTCTCATGTTTCGTAGACAAACATAGCGATTTGATTTACAAAGAAATGTATGGAGCGAAAATTATACTTGAGGATAGAAAAAGTTTCGCATACCTGTAGAATTTGTGAAGTCGGAATTCATTGGTAAAAAGTATCCGTAACCACACTGTAACCGTCTTTTTTGAGGCTGATTTTAGCTGTCATCTTGCTCTCATGATCCTTCTCTTTACATGTGATAAATTGATTAAATCCCAGTCTTTCACCTGAGCTGGCAGCGTTTGTGATGATGTGGTCTCTGATGCATTTTCGATGACATCCTGAAATTCAATATCGTGGCCCTCATATACAGCAATTTTCAGCTAAATTCAAAACGATTAACAGCGTCTTTTTTTGTGATGAAACACGACCGAAACATAATTAAGCTCTATTGGAATCTCACGCTAAAATCCCCAAAATCCACAGTCTTGAAAAAGCGATATTTCAGACATTTCGGCCTTAATTCGGATTAGGTTCGGCTCATGAAAAGTTTGGCGTCTGAACCGGGCCTTAGCCTATATATACTGTACAGAGTTCAGTTCATGTGCATCTGAAATGAATATTGTTCATTTATACTATATGAATGTTGAGTATCTAGTTTGAAATGATGGGGTTCATCTTATTTTAGGGAGAACTGGAAGACAACCCATACCCACCGCCCCCTATAACAAGTAAACGACGTCGCATTGAATTCGATTCCACCCACCGACAAAGAAAAGCAGCCTTTTTGATTTTATGCCTATTTATTTATCTCTTTAACTCTAGTTTTCATTTATTTTTATGGTCCGAAGCTTAAGGCATGAAATTATCATTAAAAAACTCAAATCATTAAAAACAAGAGTAAATGGGCGTGGTCTTACACGGTATCAAGATCAAAACGCGTCTAATGATATCCGATTGAATACACAAAATCAAAATCTAACAAATACATTTTGATTAATACGATCACATCGTTAATATTTAAGTCTGATGGTGTCTACATTATTTAATAGTAACATGCTCAGTAAATATACGAGACATGGGCATAAGCTTGAAATACTCTTCAAACAAATGTAATTGAATTTAATTTTCCGCAAGCTGTGCAGGTCACTGAAATAATTGTTTAAACAGGCACGCGGCAAAGGTCAAAGCTTTGATTGATTGCGCTAAGAGAGAAAAGAAAACGTAGAAACCGAAATTTCCGCAACTGATAAGGCTCTCTTTAATCAAGAAGAATTCCATCATGTTTGAAGATTCCTGATACAAAAACCAAATGTGTATACTAGCTAGTTAGTCTCCCTCGCAGCGGTTTTTTGGATGTCACGCAACGCTCCCTGGGGGAGCGTTACGTGACATCAAAAAACGACTGCGAGGGAGACTAACTAGCTGAGGGATCACTCTCTATAATGGCCTATACGGGGAGGCTCCGCCCGAAAGTGGTACCTTTTTAATCCTTTTTCATGTTTCAGGTACATGAAAGAGTAGGGATTTCACTACTAGTTGAAGTATTCTCTCTTGATAATGCTTATTTCCTAGTTCAGTGTATTATATGTTTTGTCGGACTTTTAATGGCGAGTTCCGAAGCCCGGCTTTACATCACAAGACACACTTCATTAGATTGCTGCGTTCGGATTTGTTGACGGCTAAGAGAGGGCATCGACACAACGTCCTGAATTAAAAAGAAAAAGAATATAGTTAGAGAACCTCACCTGTATAAGATAATGGCGTTTCAGTTGTCTGTGTATCCCAATCAATATTCAAGCGACTTTAGAGATTGGTACGCGAGAAGAAAAAAGAAAGCCCAGAATAAGTTGATCGTATTAAATTTTCGGCACGCGATTGTAAGAATCATTGCTGAAGAAAACCTGAAAACAGTATAAATTCAGGCTTCGAGTCCAACTCATAGTATGCACATTTCCGAGTACGACTTACCGCCGGATGAACCCTTACGTCACGAGATCCTTCGGCACCATAACGATAAGTGTTTTCATGTCCATTGGGCCAGCGGACCTACGAGAAAAAATAAAGGGTAACCTACAAAGCGCCTTAGGAATAGTGAGTCTCGAGCTTATACATCGTTCAGTTATGATTTCACGAAATCATTTTTCTTACTTCTGAAAATCATCTTTCTTACCTTATTTGCGGGACAAAGCGCCTTGAACTACTACGTTCAGTTATGATTTCACGAAATCATTTTTCTTACTTCTGAACTACTACTTTTCTGCAAACCACGCGTTTCAACTCGTTTCAACTGTCACCTTATTTGCGGGACAAAGTTTCTTTGGAACACTGAACTATTATACCTTTATATGTTAAGTTTCTGTGCAAAATTCCTTTAACTCTCCAGACATCGATAGTTACTTAGCAACCTCAATTGAAATTTGAAGAATTAAAAGAGGTAATAAAAATTTCAATTATTTGTACTGAATATGGTTCAAAGATAGTGATAGTACCGCTGCTAGTGAAGGCTGTCATGAGAGACACGCAGATTTTGTGCCGGAACTTCACTTTTTCCGGCAAATTCTGTCAAAAGAGCACAGTTGGTCGAGAAAATCCACCAGTGAAGAACAAGACACTTGAACCTACAAACCCTCTATTTTCCCTTGAGACATAAACAGTTGTGTCCTCTTCCTCTGCTCCACCCTCTTCGAAACGTTGGTTCGGGAATCCGCGGTTGCGCTTTGAAGGAAAACCTTACAAAGCACGTCAAAAAGAGAATGTTTTTTTTTTTCACGGGGAAGAGGATCTCATGTGTTGGTTGCTTATGTGCGTGTTAAAACACTGGCAAATGAAGATAAAATTTAATTACCTCTACAACACCACCTCGGACGGCGAAGACGCGCCCAATATTTCCGGAGCCGCCATCTTGGTTTCCCCATTTCCAGTCTGGTCCTAAAATACCAAAAACAATAGGCTACCACTGATTGTTTATAGTTGCATCTTAATCACTGGCGGATCCGCCGGACCTCTAGTTAAGGAGGAAATCTCGGGTGCTGTCTAACCGAAATGAATTACTTTGGTTTTGGTCCATAAATTAAGCCGAGGGTACCCGGGCATCCCTGGTGTCCTTTTGGCCCTAGATTTGTCCTTGTGATTAATGCTCTACACTGCAAGATATCTAACCCGTGTCTCGCTTATACGTACAGGACAGGTTTTGGTAATAACTAAGGGTTTCACCTTGGGTAATTAAGTTGCTCAAAAATTCAAACCTCTGATAACACGACAGCCAACTTGAATTCCCTCAAGATCTATGATCACGCGTCTGTTTTCATCAACAACCTAAAACGTTCAATAATGTCAAATCCACCGAATAATTTCAAAAATTGTCTCGCTCTATTTCTTTCTCCCTGCAAGATGAATCGCAACTCACATGTAACAGATTTCTAGCAATTACTTCGGGCGGTTGTGTTTGTCAACGTCGCGGCAGTTTGATTGTGTTATAGTCATCCGGTTGCTGTCTTCTTCCTGATATTTTTCCCTCCTCCGCAAACGACTTCGCTAGTGATAAAAAAAAAAATGGCAGTAATCGGGTTGACTAGGAGCCACCCACCCCCCCTCGCTTTCTTAGTCTGTCGAGCAAACTTCGTCAACGCCTTGCGAGGTTCGGTTCCTCGCTCCCTATGTCTCGGTGTGTCGCTTCAGGTCTAAGAAGGGATATTTTGTCTGTCTCACCTTAATGTCATATGCAGATTCTTTTCCATAGCGGTAGGAATTTTTGGTGTCTGAATCCCACTGGACATCCACCCACCCTGAAATTAACCAAAGAATGTAAGCCATTTACAGGCAAGGGGAGAGGATCACGGTCTCTCTGACATAACCAATACAGGTTCGCAAATGACTACCCTAAACTAGATCACTTTGTGCAGAGCAAATTCAAATTTAATTTTATTTAAAACTTGTTCTAAAAAAAAAACATGGCAAACAGCGAACTATGTAGTTAATTAATAAAAAAAAACTCCCCCGAGTGAATTCAATAGTTGTCAAGGCCATATGTCCAAGACAAACACAGTTGGGTTTTGGACAATTTTATTTTTTAAATACCTCGAGTCATGGCGGCTTCGCAGACGGACATAACAGTAAAATGTTGGTGATGATGACATCAACAATGACGATCAAAATTAATTCATCAATCAATGACAAAACACACCAACTCTTACGCACATAATAACATAGCATCACCACTGACCGGGTGTACTGTCGTTTTTAATAATGGTGCCAGGTCCATGCTTGTCCTGATCTCCCCATTTCCAGTCGGGTCCCCTGCGTACACGCGTACCCACCGGAGGGGGTTTTGGGTAATTCTATTCAATGGGAAGGAAGAACAAATTAGACAAGCCCTGTCTCCTCCCCAGAGGCCACTTTGTGTTGTAAGGGGACCGGGGAGAGGGAAAAAAGAAAGCGCGCGTGGGACGATGGGAAGGGGAAAGAGAGAAAGAGAGACTCCCATCTTTTCCCTCTTCCCATCTTCCCTAGGGCGCTTGCTATTTTTCGATCATTGCTTTTTTTATTGGGATACCGGTCTGCAGTGGAAGCCAGCCTCTGCGGAGGAGAGAGAGACAAACCCGATTGTGGATTTGGATAATAATTGTAGATAAGTCGAAGAAAGAAGCGATTAGAATTGTGATATTAATTCATAACAGTGTTGGAAATGATCTTCATTTTTAGTCCTTTTTCTATCTTACTTGAGTCTTCAACGATAGGTTAGTGGTAAAAAAAAAATTGACGTAACAGAAATTGGTATAAAACTGGTCAAATCCCATTAGGTAGGTAATGGAATCAGAGTTAAAAGTACATGTACGAAGTTTTTTAGGAGGTTTCTTTTCAAGCTGCAGATTTTACTGCAGATTTTACAAAATGAAATGTAATCGAATTTCACATGATATGGTTTGCAAGTTTCTGTTACCCTTGTTTAGAAATAAGAAGCAAAACTGAATCTTGGGGGGTTATCGTCGGTGTCTCTTTAGACAAGTAACGTCACGTGATCTCATTACATGCTATGCAAAATTGGGTCTAAAATCGAAGTGCGCGCCATTTTGGGTACGACATCTCGGATTATCATTGTGCCAAAAACCAGTATTAAAGACATTCAATCTAATCTAATTAAAAACACTTTAAAAGTACTAAATGAGCTTTTAAATTTTGAGCTAACGTGGGTACAAAAACGCCCCCTGCCTGGATACTCTTTCAATCACTCAGTTAAGATCACCAAAAGTTCATTGTAACTCACCCCAGAGTTATCATCACTATCGTCGTCCGCTACAATCATTGCCAAAAGTAAGGCCATCAGAGGACGCTGTGGGAACAAACGTTGAGAGGAAGTAATGTCTATTGACAAAATGACACTAAAATTTACCTGTACCGTTTCAGACTTGCTATTCAACTTACCAAATGTATTTCCACCACCGTAGAATTCAAAGTAAGTTTCTTAGGTGAAATTACTGGTGGATAATCGGCCTCAAAACACGGTAGCTGTAACAGTAGGTATTTTCACCAGTGCTTCTTGAATATTAAAATGGTAAGAGTCTTCTACTGGTGTTAGGGATTGACCAGCAAACAACACTATTGCTAGCTTAAACCTGTGCTTTGAACATTTACCGGAAAACCAATCACAAACGTCTAACCATTATCAAATCATAGCCTTGGAAGTGTCCGTAGTCTCCCAAGCAGACGTTCTTTCAGGTCGTCACGCAGTCATCTCCTAACGGAGAACGTTCGTAGGGAAGGAACGCGTGACAAAGCCCTAACAACGTATCGGAGTAGCTAGTGGGAGACTTGGGCATCCGTCGAGGGATGGTGTTTGTACGGTGCGGAAGATGAATTTATTATCCCGATGGGCTTTTGCTAACAGCGAAAAGATTTTATTACCTTGTTAGTGTCTTAGCTAAAAGCGACTGAGGCTAGTGTTTTTTTGCACAATATTTCAGTTTTTTACTTATCAGCTTTATGGATACTTTTTATTTTACTGAAATTTATAGAAAATATCACAGAAAAGGGGGAAGGTCCCCTCTACCCGACCCCTTGATGAACCAGTCATGAATATTTTTCCCTACCAGTTCAGTTTCATTCATTTCCTCGCCAAGTCCTCTCATAAATTGTTGCAAAGCAATCAAAGAATGGAGCTGGGCCAAATCTGATGGAACGAAAAAAAGGAAGTAAATATGAGCTAACTGTAATAGAGCTGGAAGTGAGGAACGGGTGAATTATTCGTTCTGATGACGAGCCAAAACTCGACAATAAAGCCTTTATTATCGCCATATTTCTACTTATTGGACTAACGCACTTTGTTGTAGTAAAAATAGTAATAATAATAATAATAATAATAATAATAATATTTATAGAGGGAGCTCAACTCGCCAGGGCGGTTTTCAGTGGGGCCCTCATGCATTAATCTAACTAATTAATTAATTATTACGAAAAAGTAAAATATGTTTACAAGTAAAACAAATTTAAAAATTTAAAATCTTAAAATCGATTATACAAAAAATATCAAGGTTTAAAATTAGCTGAGATCTTTTAAAAAAGTTTTTAACTTGGATTTAAAAATAGATAAAATATTACAGTCTTTTAAATCATTTGGAAGGCTGTTCCAGTCTTTCGCGGCGTGAAAAATACTCGTTTGTTTACCCCAGTTTGTTTAGTACGGCGAACTTGCATACCATCTCTCTCTTGATCGTCTTATTAAACGAACCAATTAGAACGAATTAAAGTTAGTCAAACGCCATTGTTATGTCTGCATGAAATTCCTAACTCTCTTCCTCTGCAAGCAATAGCAATCACAAACTCCTTGCTTAACTTTCCTCACATTTTTTCTTACCAGAAAAATTTATGAACACGACTAACAAGGCTTCCCAAAATATCCCGCTATACCTTTCCCCACAATTTTGCCTACCCTTAGTAAATGAAAGCCCCCAAAATTAAATGGGCAAGGTTCAACGACTAATCGCATTACAGAAGAAGTGTCTACCGTATGTTAGTGTAAAACGGACATCTCTAAAACAAAAGCCAAAACAATTTGAATTTAAGAGCCCCTCAGTTTACTTCTTTCACAACTGTACGTAAATCTCAAAAAAGCTGTAGAAAATCAATACGAACGTCGTATCCAGGGCTAATATGATAACTGGAAACGCGGATAACTTGTTTTCACTCACCGTGAGCAAATTTAGCGATGAAACGCGACAATAGCACCTGCCTCTTGAAGAATGTACTAAGCTCTTGCATGTCTTGAACCATCACGTACATCCCTCCAGTCACTTGAGCAATGCTTTCAAGAAGTTTCTTTCATAAGGAAGGCAAAATTGAAAGTTTAATGGGACAGTAGCCGCGTTATTTTATATATGTCTTAGCGGGAGTTTTCGATTATTTCAATATACGCGTGGTAAAAAAGCAACGAAAAACTCCAAATTAATGGTTAATTAAAAAGATCAATTCATTAATTTTAATACTTTCTAATACTCCAGCTTGCAGAAAAAAATTGACGAAGATGATCACTAGTCTTTCCTTACAGCCAGGGTAATTGCTAACGATTTTGATTTGTTACGCGAAAATATAAGGTGGTCAGTTGTAGAATTAATCTATAACTGATTCCAGGAAAGCAGATGTCGGTCATTTTGTGCATTACCAGGAAATCTTTCAACAAAGACCGGCTAGTATCTTTATTTGTTGAGCCATGAATTAAAACTAGTTTTCAAGCAAAATGCAACTATGGGTTTAAACTGGTTAAGGAGAACGTTAGAACAATTATAATTTTAGATCTTTTACAGCTTCATCATAGTCTCAGTCGAATTCGAAAAGACGAACAAAATTGTCCTTACCTTGTCTGCTTTGCCACATCCAACACAAGCAATTGGAATCTTATGTGGAAGGCCCACTTCTTGCCAGCGAGCTCCAAAAAGTACTGCAGCGACTAACACTTCTTTCAAGGCCTGTGAAAACAATCCAGAAAAATCTAAACTTCCCACCTCCTTCTCTAGCTGAGTACAAATAAAAACAGGCGAACGTAGCCAGTCGACTGGTGAATATTACATCAGCGCGTGGCTTTTTCTATTCTTTTTTCTTGTTTTCAGTTAAGAGGTGCAGTCATAAAACTTTAACGCGGGACGCAGAGACGTTACTTGTGGCCTTGATTCCAGTTAAAGGTTGCAGCTGAAAACGCGAATCACCTTTGATGCCTCGCTAGGAAAGCTTTGCTTTTCGAATGTGTCGCCTGTAGGGCGAGTCGTTCGTTCCTACTAAGCTGGAGCATTGGATAAAATTTTGGATAATTACCATGATTTGTAGCAAGATCGCATGTCCGATTTAATCGGTCAAGTTAACAATCGAATCTACATTAAACGGTGAAGGCGGTTCGCCCTACCAACTGTAAAATTTACCGGAATCAAGGTCACACATAACTCCTCTGCCCCCTTCGACTTAAACAGTACCTCCTTGCGCATTTATTCTGTCACACCTTTTCATTACGTTTCTGTTCTTCTTGGATCCGGACTGTTCCCCTCTTTCAGGATTTCTTGAACACAAGGTTGCATTGCTTTCAGACGTGTTGACTTGACGATCATTTGAAGTTTAAGTTTTGAATTTTATCATTCTCTTACGATTTCCGCTGGTTTAAAAAAATACTAATTGGCAAGCGTTAGATTATTTTAACTGACAGAGAAATCATAGCCTTACTTGTTCCGTGTCGCGTCCATTTTCATCCGTAGGTTTTCCATCAGTCATAAGGATAATACGTGGGCAGAGTTTTCTTCCGTTTACATTAACCACACCCCCTAAAATTTGAAGGAAACAATTAGAGCTGGTAAAATAAAGCGTTGTTTATCCAATTAATGCCGTTCATGGCCGTTATGAGCTCTTTAATACTCATTGAAAATGTGTGAGTGCATTAAAGGTTGAATGTAAACAGCATCGGTTCTTGTGTAATTAGATTGCGTATTTACTGATACAAAGTATTAAATGCATGAATGGGATGGCTGACAATGCAAAATATGAAATGTGCCCCACCCCGCGACAGCAATTCAGATATAACGCGTAGATCGTCAAAAGCTACACCTCAGGCAATATTTGGACGACTGGTATGTGTAGCCTGCCTTGCAGCCGGCCCACGTACTCGTCTAAATCATTTGTATACAGAAGGTTTAGAGCGTCTACAACGTAGGCAAGGTATGCGTAGGGCTAAAGAAATTCAGGTCCATTAAAATCTTACAAAGCTTTCATCGAAGGGCAGCCAAAAACTGACGTCAGGAAATCGTTCTATCAGTAAAACGCGGACAGCGGCGTCTTACCGTTGGTCACTATTTCTTTCAGTGCTGTCAACAAGCCGTCCTTCATGGGAGTCACACCATTTGCTTTAAGACCAGCTAAAAGAGGAAGAAGAGGTAACTGAGTATCAGTGATAGTAGACGTTACGTAGGATCTTTTAACAATTATTCCACGAGTGCGCGTTGGATGTGCTACGCGCCTCGTTGGCCATAATTATCTCATATCCAACAAGTGCGACTTTATTGGAAAAACAACCGATTTTCAGCTTGTTTTTAATTTTGAACAGACGCGTACAGTTACCCTATTTGGAGAGCATGGTATAATGGCTGATATACCATGATGGCTAAGGCAATCATAGTTCCAGAATTGCATTATCCAATGATTCAGGTTTTAATTATTTGTTTCGAAAATAATTACTGAGTAAAAACTAGCAATAGATATGGCCCTTTACGAGTATGGGCCCTGATAAGTAACCAAACGCTGAGATGATGGAAGCTGGTCGGTTACTTTGGCAGTTATTTAAATTCATTATTGATTGTTTACTGCGAAGGCTATTTCCAACATTCACATCATGTTTCTTAGCCGAATTTGTCACATATTTGGTAGTGAAGGAAAAATTTTATTGTTTTCCCTAATCCAATTCCCCATCACCACTTTCCGAAATACATTTAGCAGCATCCAACCGAAAATACACTATACGTAACATAAAATAACCTCGAGCACGGGAAAGAATGTAGCACGTTTACCAATATATTAACACGTACAAACATAAATTCAGAAGACTTACCAATTTTTCTACGAATGCTGGGGTAATCTGTTGACAGGCTGTGCAAAACGTGCGTCCTTGCTCCAAATTCCACGATGGCGACATTCTCCTGTTCAAATGAAATAAAATTTATAAAAATAAAATTCAATTAACTATGCAGAGGTATAATACGAAAGACGGTCCAGTTAAGTGGAATTCACCGATTAATGAAATGGAATTTGAAAAATTAAGGACGTTCGGTAGTGCAAATATAACCTTTACCTCCACATCACCACCCCCCGCCCCCTCCCCCGCAACCACTGCATTAATGGTACGGTTCGTGTCGATTTCCTGTAAAGGATTTCACTACTATATAAGTATTATTATTATTATTAGTTTGCCCTATTCAATTAGGAGTAGCCGCTCAGTAGCATCTTTTAAAAACACACTCAAGACATTTTTATTTCAGAAGGCTTTTTTGTGATTTTATGTGCTTTTTAATCTCGTTTTTAGTAGGTTTTATGCAGTTTTTTACGACTTAAGTAGTCTAGGTAATTTTATAGTTTTAGTGTTTACATAATTGTTTTACTCTTTTTGGTAGGCTCATGCACTTTTTGCATGTATACTTTATGCACTTATTATTATTATTATTATTTTATTTTTTTGTATTTTTATTTTTTTTAATATTTTTATTTTTAAGCGCTGATGAAAATAGCAATATTGATATCGGCGCTATATAAGTATTATTATTATATTATTATTACTACGCCTCAAGTGAATAATCTTTGAACTTATAGTTAAGGGGACGTTTCTTGGAAAATCACGCGCGCGCGCGCGTAGCAGAGAAAAACAAAATTGATTAGCATCAGGCACGTTCTTTAACAACGAAGAAAGCAGAACCAATTGTTTTGTAATCCTGCCTATAAAAACAGCGAGCTAATGTTTTGTTTTCTTTTCCTCCTTAGAGTTTTAAATGCATCTTTTTCATATGTTTTTCTTCGTAAGATTATAATTTTTGCAATTAGTTAACTGCTACATATTTATTTGAAAACTGATGAATCTCTCTCGCTTTCTACTTTTTTTTACCTTAATTTAATTGCAGTTATTTTCTTTTCGTATTATTCTTGGCCCGCCTAGACTAACTACACCTATTTGCGGTGCCAGGACACTTGAAAAAATATTCTTTAGAAAATTTATGATAAAATCTTGTCTTGTCTTGTCTTGTCTTAACAATAGCTCTCAGTCAAGGAGTGCCCGAGGAATTCTAGATATCTTTTAAAACTCTTATTGAGGACTTTTTTTGACCAATGAGCGCACAGAAATTTCTACAATTATATTTTGTCGTAAAAATGGATTGATTGGACCTCGGCTTCTTGATAAACATCGTAAACAAGTCATTTCCGATTAAGGCCGGAAGGAGCTGCTTTCTGAGAAATTGATGATCTAGCTGTAAACAACAATTATTCACAAGATCGCCCGACCACAAATGGTGCTTTTACAAAGTCATGGAAATTGAAGCTTTCATTCAATTTATCCCAAAATAAAAAAAACAAGAAGACTGACTTTGTATTACTGAACTAGACTAGGCACCCGCAAAAATGTATTGAAAAGTTGATGCACGTAAACGTTCAAGACTTGCCTAGATCTAATTGCCATCATTGCAAAAACCAGATATCTCTCCTGGCACAGTTTGACTCTCTTCTTCGATATGCACTAAATATGGAAATTTTTGTGCAATTTAAATTTCGTCATATCGCGAATTTTCTTTTGGTTAAGTTGATGCAGTACAGTAACAAAGTCAAATCATAAGAACGAAATCAACAGTTAATTAAAAAACAAAGGAACAAAATGTCAATCGATATCTTTGGCAGTGAGAAAAATAATTCGTTTAGGGCTACAACCGTTTCTCCATTTAAAAACAAGAAAGCAACTGGTTACCTGTAAACCCGCTTGTCTTGCAGTGTCTTCCACTCCATCAAGAAACTTCGAGGCTGCAGCCTTGAGCTGGTTTATACCTTCATTATTGTTAGAGCCCATGGAGCCCGAGGTATCCAGGCACAGAACTGTATCCAGGGGCATCTTCTTTAACTTTGTGCTAAGAAAGGTGTATTGCGATAGATAATATACAAGTATCAGTAAAAGTCAGTTTAAAAAGCCAAAGCCTTCTCTAGGCGCGGCTCTGAACTCACAGCTGGGTTCCAAGCTCAAGAAGGATCTAATTCTTTCCACAGCAAGCATTTGGAACTACAAGAAGAGAGTTTTGTCATAGCTTTAACTTTTCTTCAACACACCTATGCAATTTCTTTCTTGATATGCAAGAACTAACTATACTGCGTCATAATTCATAACTTTCTGCATAGACATAACAATACAATTCCAAAGTAAGCGAAGTTCATAACTGTCAACATTGACTAAACTTCACTGTTTTGTTATACAAATGTCCTTAAAATTTCTAGCTGCTCTAGCTTTCAACGGTGTTATATACTCTTCGTCTGGTATAGCGAATGAAGTAAGCTTCAATTCCACCAGGCGAAGCGCAGCAGCTAGGTTTCAAACCGAAACTAACTTCCGCCACTTCCGCCACTTCCGCCCGAAATATATTTATCCCTTAGCACTGAGGTCGACATCGAACCCTTATGAAGAAATGAATTCTATCTTTCCATTCGTTTAAAAAGATTTTTTCTCACGACCCATCCATACCTCAATTTAGAAAGTCGAGACTTGCAAAGAGTTGGAGGATTTCTGTTCTTCGGATATACAAAACAGAGTGGATTCAGTTATTTAAATACGCAAACAACGAATCAGGTCAAACCAGTTTCTACGCCTTTGCCTCGTTTTCGTTAAGGGGGAGGAGTTAGAAGATTGGCAATGTTTAAATAATTTTTCCTTGGATGGTCAGGGCGTTAAGGTCGAGGGAAAACTGTAAATTGTAAATATCTTATCCATACCCTTCAGGGCTTTTAAGAGAACAGTGTGTGGGTTTTTTAACGTCCCAAAGAGTTTAATCATATGTGTAAGGTTTGTGAGACGAAGCCCATGGTTTAATTGTCGTCATTTTTGAACTTACGCAACAGGATGGGAGAGGAAAGAAGGCGGCAAACCTTGAGTGACAAGCGTGACAACAATTATGTTTGATTGTTGTCAAAAAAACAAGACGCTTTAAAAGCGTTCATTTAGGCGGGGTGTATATCAAAGACAGAAAGACTTGAAAGTAAACAAATGAGAATAGATAGATAGAAACTTAGATAGAAACTTTATTTATGTGTCAAGAAAGAAAAAACTAGCCGAGGGGCAGGCCCTCTACTAATAGGGGACACCTACAGTTAAAATATATATAATAGATACAATAATTAAGTAGATAAAAAAAATCCATACAATATGTTACAAATTGTTAGCTAAAATACTAAAGCTGAGTACTGAAATGCTAAGATTGTTTCCGATGAGACATCAACTATCACAGAGAAGACATCCTTTGCATCCATCATCAATAAGAGATGTCAGATCCTTATTACGCATTCGGTTTCTAAAATCACTCAATGATTTACACGTTTTATCATTTTTGTCCAGCTTACTCCATAAAATGGGACCTATATATCGAAGGGAATGCTTACCAAATGAAACTGTGTTAAACCTGGGTAAAAGAAAGTCTGAATTTCTGAAACTGTAGCATGAATCACGAGGTTTAAAAATGTTGGTGATGGCTTCGGAACACATTTTAGTGTGTTTAACCTTGTACATTAGCACGCATATGTCTTGAAGACGTCTATTCAATAGTGTTGGCAAGTTAGCCCTATTCAATAACTGATGATAACTGGACTTAGTGTCCTTATACACAGCACTAAGTCCTCGTTCCTGGATTCTTTCGAGTCTACGAGTATCGCTTGCCCTACAAAAATGCCAAACAAGGTGGCAGAGGGTGAGTATGTTAAGTATGGCAAGATAGCTGATTTAAAAAGTACTAACTTTGCCGTGGTGGGAATTAGATTTCTCAATCTCATAATTACCCCAACCCTTTGACTAGCTTTGTTACATACGTCGTTGATGTGTTCGTTGAAATTTAACTTATTGTCTATTGTGACTCCCAAGATTTTCAACGAGTCAGATGTCCTGATAATCTTGCCATTTAGGTTCAGGTTAGTGTTATGTTCTGTACAACTGAACTGTTCCTTCTTATGACCATATTTATTTTGAATGAAAATAGTCTGATATTTCTTCAAATTACCCTCCAAGAGATTGTTTTCGTACCAGTCAGTTGCACTACTGGCACTTTCTTGATGTCAGGGCGAGCAAACACCAAATTAAGATTATAAGAAGAGCTATCAATGCCAGCCACAAAACAGGGTCTAAAAACAATACCATCACTTGTAATAGTTACAAGTAACTATTAAGATGTAATAGTTAGTTGTTTTAGAGCGACCTGTCCTAACCTTGAAACCAAGATGTATTTCAGTTTCCAGGGAGGGAGACAACCGCAAATACCGCTAAGTTGGCAAGCTTTACCTGGCTTTGCGTGCCCAATTATGTACCAAAAAAGACAACTTTGCAGCAAATCTGGCGAACCCGCTCAAATAATAATATTTGGGCACCGCCCAAGTCATAAGCGTCCCGTTAAGATGAGCGACCCCTAAAAAAACACCTCTAGGCGCTTATTCGATTCATCACCGTAAATAATTGTTATTAATAGGAAATCGATCAGAAAATGCTGGGTACCTACTGTGATCATCACACTGAAAATGTGTTTTTCAGTGATGGGCTATGTCCTAAAAACTATTAGCAGGGTATTTAATCAATAATGACGTTTATTTCAAGTAGCTCAGAGAAAGAAAAGCGAGATCGTACCGCGTATTATTTTTATCAATTTGCTCCCCCCCCCCTAGAAAAAAGGACGAAGGACAAGCGTAGGCAGTGTCATTGTACCTTTAAGATCTCAAAAAGCGCCTCTTAACAAAACGAGAAGGAACATTTTTTTCCTTTGGGTTTGTCCATCTCTCGTGATAGTGGCCATAAAATTGGATGAAAAAGGAAACAAATAAAAACAGTCTTACCTTTTAAAAAATTGACTCTTTATTGTTAAAGATAGTCCACTGACAGAACTTTGTACGTCATATCAATTTAGCAGTTATAACTCACTCAATTTTAGGAGTGCCTGTAAGCTAGCTTAAAAGAGCAGGTAAATACACTTTCACACTTATAAAACAAAGAGATATATTTACAAAGAAGCTAAGTCTCCTACCATTTCTAAAATTACCCAACAAAAGCTGAGGGAGGGTATTCCAGTGTTTTTGGATACTAACTCTTAAAGTAACTGTTTAGTTTTTTTAAAATTATTTTATCTAATTATATGTTACAGCCCTCAAGAGGTAAAACATTTAATCAGGGTTCCCTTAATTCAAATCATGTCTTTCGACTCCTCAAAGTGTTGCTAAAGTCTGAATGGAGACAAATAATTCCCCTCTTTAAAGCGCCAAATGACTGTTCACATTATACCAGTTTAGTTTACTAGTCTTTCACGGTAATTTTGCGTTTGATGCGTTGTCACGCGGCTTATGACCAATCTAGCCAATCTCTCACTGTTGATTTTCATCACATCACGTTGCACACATCAGATGATCCCTGCCTTCCGAACATTGGACTGCCAATCACCACCACGTCCTAGATTGAGAAAACAGAGCATTATGGTGGAATCTCACTTGCATAAGTTATTTCAATGGTAGAAGTATTCACTATGGAAATTCATATATACACACACATACATAACCTTATTTCCACGCGAATTAGGATATATATCATCGAAAAAATAATATAGATACCGTAGCCAGGATAGTTAGAACCTCCCCCGCGCTTAAGAGGCAGTTGACTGTAAATAGACAGCTAGAAGGTTATGGAAGAGAGAAGCTACTGACTTCAAGTCGTTTACTATAGGTAAAACCCGGAAATGAACGAATGAGCCGGACGTAGGGATGACAGGAACGGAATATACGGACAAACGAACGGACGAATGGATGAATAGATGGACAAATTAAAAGACTCACCGCCGGGTGAATCAAAACGTCACAAGCTCCCTCGGCACCATGACGATAGGTGTTTTGATGTCCATTTGGCCAACGGACCTGCAAAAAAGCAAATTCTTCATGATATCATGCGCATTTTGCTAGCGCTCTGGTTGGGCTCGAAAAGCCTTTGAGTGTTTCAAGAAACATCCAGAAAGTATCCTCACATCGTTACCTATCAAAAACTTGTGTAACGCTTCTACTCCGAATTTTGTAATTCCCTCTGCTTGAATTTGCATCGAGTGTCCTTCGACTACACATAGCAACATGTACATAGAGCTTTTCCACTCACCTTGTGGCCAGTAGCCTGCGAAAACAGCCATGCTGATGATGTAAACCAAAGTTTACATAATGAATCGATAGTCATGGGGTTCCAAAATGCAAAATGCAAATTTGTTCAATTTTACGCTTCTCCTTGTCGATTTTGGTAAAGTGTTGTGTCCATCTGTGAACGAGCTCCAGCAAAACTCAAATGCTTCTTCTGGAGAGGAATATATTCCACAAATATTGACTGTTTTGTTATGGATTCATCATGTTTATATTTGCCTTTGTGGCCTTTTGTCTTTTGTCTGTCATTCTTAAACAATAACTATGTATCTACTCCATCGTCCAATAAGAGCTTCTGACCGGACTCTAGACAGATTTTACGTCATCAGTATGGAATTTCTGTCGCAGAGTCGCAGACGTTCCTCCTCGCTAAACGTCCCCAGCGGCGAGGAGCGAGGAGAAACGGCTGTTTTCGCAGCTACGTAGCCAGCATCTATGCAAATTTATTTCACAAAAGAAAGCGTTTACATAACAAAAGAGTTCAACTCCCACAGGAATGGTTTGGGACACTAACATGGCCGCCGGGTTCGTGACGTCATGTGAAAACGCTCAATTGCTTCTTTATGCCATAATATAAACCCGCATATTACTTCTCAACCCCTCGCTTACAGTAGGCTCTCGCTAAGACAGACAATTCTGAGGAACGGGCGTTTTCGTCTTAGAAAGATGTCCGCTGAGAGGGCGTTTAAAGTTGCTTCGGACAGCATGAACTCGGTTGCACCAAAAAGACCACTACTTTCTCATATTCTGTTCGTTGTTCCTTTGCGCGTTAAACACTTGAGAAGCAATTTTCTTAACTTTTGTCCGAGATAGTAGGGAGGAAATAAAAGTAAATTACCTCTACAACTCCATTACGAACGGAGAAGACACGCCCAATATTTCCAGCGCCACCATCTTGGTTTCCCCATTTCCAGTTTGGTCCTAAAATACATTACAATTGAGACTAACGCACACGCTTGTTTTGTACTATTTTTACAGTCAATCAGTTACAATGATATTCGAAAACCTTTACTAGATTTACACTAAGGCCTGGTTCAGACGCCGAACTTTTCACGAGCCGAACCTAATTCGAATTAAGGCCGACCCAAATTATTTATACTGGCTGAATTGATTCAGACGCCTATTTTAATTGCAGCTGAACTAAGATCAAAAGGTGAAAAATCGGCTCATTTGCTTAAACTGCTCACAAAATATGTTATAATAATTTATGTATTCAGTTCGGTATATGAAAAGTTCGGCATCTGAATCAAAGCTGTTCCAAAATCGCTCCAAAGGCGAAATTCCCAGCCGGGCTTGGCGAAAAGAACGGCTGAGCAGTTCTAAATTGAAACAGGCATCCTAACTGATTCATACGCCCAACTTTTAATGAACTTAACTCAATGTAGTGGGTTCGGCTAATGAAAAGTGCAGCGTCTGAACCGGGCCTAAGCTGCTTATCTACTGTTATGCAAACTTGAATCACCCTGGACCATCCTGTATAACTCGTTCCCTGGCATATTGTAAGACATAAAAATCTAAGAAAATATTAATTTTGAGGGTACTTAGCCCGGGAATAGTTAACACGAATGAAGGAAAAGGAAACAGAAGTTATTCTAGTCAGTGGTGATAGAAGGGTTGCAGGAGCTAACTCAAAGTTCAAGAAGAAATCTCCAGAATATTTGGAAAAACAACTCTCCTGGAAAGTCGCCCCACGTTAGGGAATCCGGATACAGGGGTCCGGGAAAATTTTGCAGGTGGAATCAGGAATCCTGGGCTTTGGAATCTGCAATACAAGACCAAGACTGAAATCCAGTACCTGGAATCCGGAATCCACGGCGTGGAATCCAGAATCCAAGACTGTCTTGGATTCCCTTACATGGGGCGAACGGAAAGAGTCAGTATTTTACAAAGGATTTTTAGTTACCTCTGAAAAGCAGAACATGAATTGAACTCAAGCTTAAGCGCGCAAACGTTATGGTCTTTGAGGTGATGATACAGGCATTTAGTTTTTGATAATGACAGTATCAGAAAACCACTCAACCATGGTTTTAAAATGGCTTTTGGGGGTATACAGACATTTAGGTTTTGGTATAACAACAGTATCAAAAAACCACTCAACATTCTAACCTCTGATAACACGACAGCCAACTTGAATTCCCTCAAGATCTATGATCACGCGTCTGTTTTCATCAACAACCTATTACGTTAAACAGCATATAAATTCTTGCTAAATCAGTCTGATATTTTCGATCTTAGCTGTCTTGCAGAAAAAGTGCCTTATACAGTTTTTCAAATGTGCCTTTTATAATGGGTGTTATAAAAAGGGTTATAATGGGTTTCACTATCAAGGTATCACACTGTTTGTTCAACCTTGAGTACTAAACGGGTATTCAATTGGTCACGAAACTAAGAACCAGAGATTGGTCGCATGGGGTGGCGACATACACTGTTGGACAAGGACCTCAGCCTATTATTGTTTAGCCGCAAGGTGATTCGCGTCTCAAACGCTTTCGATTACTGAAAAAGTCGACAAAGGGTAGTGTAGTGCTTTTCGTGGCATGGCAATTTTATCATGTCAGATCGTGATCGTTAGGTGTTTGTTCCTGGAGTCAAATATATTCTCAAACATTTTTCCTCAAACCAAACTTTTAGCTTTAACGTGAACAACAAGAAACGGCGGAGTACACAATAAACGGCGAGGAGAGAGTGTGTTTGGTCTGTGTCACCTTAATATCAAATGCAGAATCTTTTCCATAGCGGTAGGAATTTTTGGCACCTGAGTCCCACTCGACATCCACCCACCCTGAAATTAAACGTAATGATATAATATAACGATTTAGCCGAGGCTCAACAAGAAACTCCCGTTAATAAACTTATAATTTACTTCAAACAATAAACTTGTAACCATTGCAGAGAAATCTACTTCGAAGTGAACCTGCGATCAATTGAAAATTAGTTACTTGTCAGCGGATAACCTGTTTTGACAGCTGTCAGTTGAGCACAACATGCATGGATGCGCAATATCAGGTTGTCGGTTCCCACACTAATTGTAAAGTGCTCTGTGAGATTTCGCAATGGTTGCCCTGTGGTGTTTACAGACGGGGCTCCGCTATAAAACCGGACAGCCATTTTAAGTAAAAGAAAGAGAGTACGTCCTTCTCCACAACTTAGTATACGTTAACACACGCCAAATCAGGACCAACTCCGATAAAATTTTCGATGAGCAAATAACATAGCATACCGACTACTTCTATAGCAAGCATAAAAACTACATTTTGTACAGCTACACTGATACTGACCGGGGGTGCTGCCAGTTTTAACAATAGTGCCAGGTCCATTTTTGTCCTGATCTCCCCATTTCCAGTGGGGTCCCCTACGGATACGTGTACCCACCGGAGGAGGATTTGGGTAGGTCTAATAAAAAATTAAGAAAAGGAAAGCTACTTAATGCAAAAATAATCTTTGTTAGCTGTTTTCAGACGACAATAGTAGTAGGTGCAAGCTAACAACTGAAAAGTGTTCAAATTACTTTTGAATTCATGAAAAGAGGTGTAAAGGAGACCCCCCCCGTTACAGGATCCATTGTGATCAACAAATAATGTTGGAAACAAATATTCCACGTCTATTAAACATTATAAGTAAGGATCCCAGTTTCTTGAGTGCTGTATTTGTTTACAATCTTTGGAGGTGAATTCAATTAGAATCGGATAGTTTTTGATGGCTCGAGCATAGGACGATCTGTGACTAAGCACATTGTCATTTGCTTAACCCTGGCTGTCCTTTAAATTATACGTGCAACAGTATAGTAACGTCAGTAAAGGCACAAACTTACCCCAGAATCATCATCGTCATCACTGTCGCTATCCGCTACAATCATTGCCAAAAGAAGTGCCATCAGAGGTCGCTATGGGAACAAATAATAAGTGGAAGTTGAGTTGTTCTTTCAATTTGCAGACTGATTCTCAAATGACGTTTCAAGAACAAGAACTTTATTACAACATAACCTTGAGTCAGGGCTTATTTTAAAGGGGTCAGTTTTAATGGGTGATATCAGAGACCCTGGGATTCGGGGACGAGAACGACTACGAGTACGAGATTTTACTTAAAGTTCTTTTCTCGTATTCTCAAACTTTCAAGTTGACGGAAGCTTCATTTTACCATTTTCACTAAAAAAGTTAGCACTGTTATCTTTAATGAATCAGGTTACGCCCTCTCCGGATCGTAAAATGATAAAACTTCTCACATTAATTTTTTTGACAAATTGTTTCCGCCACTTCGACATTCTCGCTAAAACTCGTAGTAGAGTGACGACGGCTAGCACGTTTTCCCGCCAAAATGGCCCTGGTTTACGCGCGAGCATTACTTAGTATTGAAACAAAAAGGGGAAACCCGTTGTCGTACTCGTCTTAGAATCAAATTAAGAAATGGTAAACGTGCAGCGTGCAACCATGGAGTTATGGATGCACGCGGGAGGTTGCTAAGGACGAAAGAAGCGTCAGAGTCGCACGAGGTGATAGCCGAGTGCGACTCTAGCTTCTTGAGTGCTTAGCAAACCTCCCAAGTGCATCCATAACTCCATGCTTGCACAGCTGCAACGTTTACCATTTCTTTTATAACATAATCAAAAGAGAAAAAAAGTGTTTTCCATTTGCCTTCGGTTGAGTCATCGGTACAAGTTCATGTATGCTGCCATCTGCCGCTCGTAAGCAAATCAGTCATGTTCTATGTTTTTCAAAAACTTGTTTTTGAGTTTTTTTTCGCTGAATCAACGGTTCTCTGTCTTCAGGTAAATTGCAAAACGTTTTTCGTTGTTATTCTGAATGGCATCTGTCTACTTGCTCTTAAAAACTTTGAGGGAAAACTATAGCTGCAACTATAAATACCAGCTAAAAAGACTCTAAAAAATAAGCTAAGACTAAATAAATGGAATAATTATCAAGCTTATTTATGTGACAATTTTTGAAATAAACGTAAAGTAGAAATGAGAAAATTTGGCTGTAATTCCTTTAGAATAACAGGTAACACTAATTTTAGAAAGAAATTAACTAGCTTTGTATCGAAATCTGTTTGGGGAAATCCAGCTATAAAAGTCAAAGCTGCAACTGAAATTCGCCGACACACAGCCGGCGCTGAAGCTGTTGTTTTTCGACCGTTCTCTGAACGACTGTTATGAATGAACACTGACGAGGAACAAAATAATACATACAGGAGTTATTTTTTGAAAAATTTATTTGAAAACCCAAATGTTTCTGTACTCAAATGAAATTCGCTTATTCCAGCGTAATGTGCCCTTCCGTACGAAATCTTATGGCCTGACTGAGCCACAATAGGGCCTTAATAAGGCCTTAAATGGAAACATAGAGCAAAAGATCAACCAAAGCTGAACCTAACAGCCATCTAAGTGTGATATAAAAGCAGAAAACAGTTCTTCCTCGAAATTTCATGAGGGGAGAAATGGGCTAAGGCCGAAAGGATCTAATGCTGACCGATTTTCCCAACGCTGGATATAAAAGAATGACAGCCACTTGCTGCATGCAGGGGCACCCAACGGGAAATTTTGAGAAAAAGACCTAAATACAACAACGAAGCGTGAATAAAGTTTTCTGAGACTATTTTAAGCATTTTGGGAGATTGCTGGAAAAAAAATTATCTGTTCCTCACTCCCAGCAAGACTGATGGAAGAGTTCCCAGCCAGCAACCTTACAACCTGCAACCTGACTTACTGGGAAGTTTCATAGGGCACAATTCAGATCTTGAGTGGTAAGCAACCCATACAACTAACCCGTAGCAGCTATTCTAGACTTCAAATCCCCTCTGACACCCTGAATTATCTTTTTTCCCAGCAACACTTTCCTTCCAAGGACTATTATTTCTTCCACATCTCCCAGCCAGCAAAAATTTGCATGAAGAACAGATATTTTGAGGAACAGATCCATTGGGTGCCCCTGTGCATGTAGCTTTTTAACGATGTTATTAGTAATACAGTGGCGGATCCAGGGGAGGGACCTGGGGGTCCCGGACCCCCCCTTCCCCCTTATTGGTAGCCCAAACTAAGGCCCTAAGGGTTGAGGCCGCAACCCCCCCGCTGAAGTTTTAATTTTCACTAAATTCTTCAGGGGTAAAACCACATTCTTCAGGGGTAAACTTATATTTTATGGAATTCTTCAGAGGTAAGAAGAAAAGGTAACTCCTCAACTGGGCGGGAGGGGGTACGGATATTAAAAGTAATAGCCCAATCCTTATAGCCCAATCAATCCTTGCAACGGTATTTTAAAGACTTTCGACGCGGTAGAATACAGAATCGTTACTATCAGAGTTAAAATTTTGTGAATTAAGTTACCGTAGAATTGCATTTATGCGTGCTCGTAATCGATTCCGTAAAACGTCGACGTCCAAGTCCGCCATGTTTTTCTATACTCAGGAAATTAATTTCTTACTGGTCCCCAGAGCACCGTCGGCCAAACAAACGAAGTCCAGGATTTGGACGAACATTATTCGAAAGCGAATAATAGAATTGGAAACGGAATAAAAGAATTCATAATGGCATAATAGAATTGGAAAAGAGAACAACAGAATTTGAAAGGAAATAATAGGATTCGAAACTGCATGAGAGGACTGTACAATCGAATAACAGGATTGGAAAACTGCATAACATAATTCGAAAGCGAATAACAGAATTGGAAACTGAATAAAAGAATTCACAATGGTATAATAAAATCAGAAAAATGAATAACAGAATTCGAAAGGGAATAATAGGATTCGAAAACTGAATAACAGCCTAGGAGAATCGGATAACAAAATTTAAAAGTTAATATTGGCGGAAATCACCCCTCATAAGTCTGAGCCAAACAAATTTTGTTTCCTTTTTTGTTTCTAATTTCAACACCATGAACAAAAAGCGACCAAATTCAAGCAGAATATTTTAGGTTGTAAATTTGGTCGACAGTTAAACCCCAAATATGAACCAAAATCGCGTTGGGCTGTTATTTAGGCTCTCATTTAGAACGCGCTACGACCTTAAAGCAGGCAAAATTTTTTTAGTCGTAGATTAGGTCGCTTTAGAAGCCAACTGAGGCTGTAATTTGTTGTTGAGCCGTGCGGTCGAGCCAGCGAATTACAGTGAAATCGACCATGTGAAGCCACCAGAAAACAAAGCTCTGTATAAGTTATGTGTAAGGGAGACATTAAATATTAGCAAAACTTGAATTAAATAGACCTAACGCAAGAGATATTTGCAAACAAAAACGAGAAATATCAGATTAGTCTTTTAACTCAACTGAAGTAAACATTTAAAGATACAATACGTACCTACAAAGTTAATTCCCTCACCTTGCACGTAAGACTAATCTCTTTCTATTTTATTCACAAATTTGCAAACATAATTGACGCACCTGACGATAGATTAATCCACGCCGTGCACGCTCGAAACCAAATACAATAAATGAATGTTTTACCCCTGAACACTTCCGACCAGTTAAAGCTGGATTTAAATAGCTATATATGATGTATTTGAATCGTGGTGGTACCATATTAAAAAGACTTTACAATTACTACAGTAAAAAGGGCTTTACTATGGAAAAATTTTAGTGACATTGTCTTTGCGTTACCGTAGTAAACCTGACAGGTCCACTTGAAACTTTCCATACGTTGTTTTTGCGTGATCGCGTGTAAAAACACCTTTTCTTGATTTCGCAAACCCTGTCTCGACATGTTCACGTGGCCTTAGAGAGACATGATTATTGGTTAGTTTATTTTGGCGGGCATTTGGGTTTTTCGTTAGTTGCATCGTAAGAAGAGAAAAACGTTTGTTTAACACAGAGAGTGAGAGATCATTTTTTCACCTGTAAACGTTCTCCCCATCTAAGTTACATTGAAACTTAACGTTTGTAAGTTTGAAAATTAGTTTTCATCACTGTATCTATTTTGATTCGGACAAAAGTCTCCGCACTGTACCCAAAAAGTCCCAAAAGTCGCTGTGCCTTGCAAGGACCGTTCGAAGCGAGGCAAGAAGATGAAGTAAAAATGTGCAGGACAAAGGTTATAAGACTGCTGATAAAGGTAAGCTTATGTGTTTTAAGTTGTATCTAAGGTTAGTGTTTTTTCTTTATAGATCGTGCTTCATGTTAAACGTACGTAGCCCTTAAATTTCTTTTGGCGGCCAGTGAACAGGTCATGACTGTTCGAAAACGTAGAATCTTCTTGGAAACATGTTTATCTCTATGATATAGGGCTTAAAACCTGCCTAACAAACCAGTTAAATATTGTTCTGGAACAATTTCATAAAGCACGCGGATGTATTTGCTGGTTGTGGGTAACATAGGAAAAAATAAATTACAAAAATCCTGAAAGGAAATAGCTCCGTATAAAATAGTATCACTTTGGTTTTGGTATTAGTAAGAGTCGCGTGTCAAAAAAGTTATCAAGGGTCATCAAGCTTGTGAGAGTTTGATAAATTTACATTTCAAACAGACTTTCTCTTCTATAAAAACACACAAAATATACCTTAATGCACCTATCAATGTAAACCCCGTCGGGGGCTTGCGGGCAAGGGGTGGGGATTTGGCCAATTTTAAAATTTTTTGATCAAATTCCCCAGGGTGGGAAACGAAAGGTCAATCAAAAGTGTCAAAAAAGCCCCCACCCCAGGGGAAAAAATCTATACAAACAATACTATAATACTATATAAAACGAATAAAAGAACATTTCAAAAGTACGTTCTTACTACTTTTATTTATTAAAAGCTAATGTAAGCTCCGTTAAATTACTCGCTGTAATTAAGTATGTTCTCTCTCCACTAGCATCTCTTATTTTGAACAACAAAATCCCTACAGGAAGATTGACCGTGCTATTATAATATTAATGAAAGGTACAATGCTTTATAACATCTGCTCAACATGTCGGAACAGGTTGGACCAGTGACCCGCAAAAAATCCTGACTTTCATGGTGGGATTCGATTTCAATCGAGTTTTACAATCAGATGGGAACTTGAAGATAAAAACGATTACACAATAGACATTATCTGTTTAGATGACAGTTTAAAGTATCGGATTATGGCGATTAAAACAAATGACAACTTCACACCTTTCTCCAACAGCGTGACTTTCAAAAAGCCTCGAGGGACAGACTTGGTAACCGCTTCTGAATTGATACCAGGCTTCTGTCGGTCAAAGTCAAATGTCCCGACCCCTGGGTCGCTTCACACGATCAAAAGCCCGACAAAGGGGATAGTCTCAGGCAGCATCAAATTCCCGCCCCTTGCCCGCACTCCCCTTCCCCCTATTATTACATTGATAGGTGCATAAATCTTCGCTCGCTTGATTATCCTTCAGCCGATTCTAACCGCGAGGAAAACAGTGATTAATTCATCCAGGGCAAATTTGTCGCTTGATCTTTTGTCTTTTTTCCTTCAAAACGACAGCTTAGTATTTTCTTCAACTTCCACTTTTCATCTGAGCATTTCATCGGTGTATTTTACCGTCAGGAGAGGAGATTTGTTGAATTTGCCTAAATTTTACCGCGCTAGCTCAGTTTCTTGGCGTGCACCCACGGGCAAATGGTAGTGACTAACTGACCAATCAGAGCGCGCGATTTACTGTTGTTATGTTATAGAGGTCTCTATTTTACCGGTTACTCACTATTTTCTTATTGTCGCCCACAAATAATTGAGGAAATGAGCAATTATTTTAAATAGGTATAACAAGTAAAAATCCCACTGGCCGGAGGAAAGCCAGTTGGCTATTTAGGAGAATGACCTACATGTAGGACTTAAACTCTGAGGGCTACTGGCAAAAACCCCACATAGTAGCGATAATGAAATGGGAATTGAACCCAGCGACGATGGTGAAATCCAGGGCCCGGTTCCTGAAAGATCGATTAGCGCTATTTCAGGATTAATTTTTTTTCCCCTATTTTATATTTACCTTCCTATGCATTGCTTGGAGTATCAGTTTCTGTTATCATTACTGTATCTTAGAGTAAAGGCGCAATTTTATTATTTTGTACGATTGAGTTATATGGTCTTAGACAAGGATACCGTGATTAAAATTTGGCTTAATCTTGGGTTGAATCATCAATCAATCAATCATTTATTTTAACACGTTACGTCAAGGAGCTCAAAAACCTCCAGTATCCTAAACCACACAGCCATGCTTACGGGTGTGGCTTAACAAGAGAAAATCATTGTTAACGAAAGATTTTTTCCCATAAACCTTTCCCGCATTCCTGTGAAGCAAACACCAACTCAAGGATTGGGTTGACAAATAAATGATCTGTATGAAACTTTCCATCCAAGAGACCATAAGCCATATTGTAGGTTAGTGCCCGAAACGAAAGGAATGGAATAGGACACATGACAATGTGGCTGAGGGGATCCACTGGGAACTGGCAGGAAAGCGTAGGTTTGAGCGGAATGAAACGTATATGACCATGTCCGCAGGAAAGTGTGCTTAAAAATGACGACTACAAACCTTTGTGGGACTTCAGTCTTCGAACAGACCATGAAACTGGGGCTAGGAGAATGGATTAGGTGGTCATTGACAAGAGAGACAAGAGCTGTCAAATTATAGATGTGGCAATTCCAGAGGATGGACGGGTGAGAGAAATGGAATATGAGATGAAAAGTACCAAGATCCTGCGGGAGAGAAGTTCGAAAACTGTCGGGTGTTCCTTGGCTTACCTAGGCTATTGTTGTTACCCGGAGCCAGAGAAAACACCAGCCTAAACATCATCAGCTGCACGAGAATTCATTACTTACAACTACTATTAAATATGAATATGAATATGAATAGTCGCAGTTGAATAAACAACCTAAGAGGTGGATACCTCTGCAAGCCAACAATAACGACGTGAAACTCGACAAACTAGATTTTTATATTTTCCATGACTTAAATTTTCTTTCTTTCTTTTCTTTTCTTTTTTTTTTCTATATTCCATACCAGTTCAGCTTCATCCATCTCCTCCCCAAGTCCTCGCATAAACTGTTGCAAAGCGATAAGTGAGTGAAGCTGAGCCATGTCTGTTAAAAAAGAGAATAAAGCCCATGTACCCTTTAGAAGATCAAAATGGACATTCTTAAGCCTTTTTTCTGACAAATAAGAATCTGTCAGCGAGCCTTTACGGCCTACTTGCTTAGTAGTTAGTTAACACCGTCATGCGTTTTCACTAGAAGCTTAGAATGTTAATAGATGGTTATCTAAAATTCAAAACAGATATACCATTACGTATTGGTTCGTAAAAGTTAGAAAAACACTGACAGAACTTTTCACTATTTGAGGGAAACGGAAAACTTCCTAAGGATATCATCGTAAAAATAAACAAAAAACTGGACAGGACTGTGGAAATCGATTTGAAGAAACATGTAAACTTCTAAGGCTATGATGAGAAGTACGCTAAGTTCAAGGAAGAGCGCATCACGAGAAGTACGGACACTTAAGGACTCATGTCTGAAATGCCTTTTCAGCTTAATAAATATAAGGGCCAGTAGGCATGGATATCGTTCACATTTTTGTACCTGAGATAGTTAGATAGATTAAGTCCCGTACAAGCCTGAATTTTTCAGGCTTTCTTGTCGCAGCTGCAAAAGTTGCGTCTATAGCTGCAATAATCTACTTTTCACATAATTCTTCACCCCGCAGTTCACATCTATGATTTTCATATATTCATAACTTCATAAACAGAATTCTCTCAACCGGTCGTGCTAGAACAAACCGAGCCAGCTAAAGAATCGGTTCTGTTTACTTTTGACGAAAACAATTTCGCAGAAGCTGAAGAAAATCAGTAATAAATCACTCACCATGTGCAAACTTTGCGATGAAACGGGACAAAAGTACTTGTCTCCTGAAGAATGTACTAAGCTCATGCATGTTTTGAACCATCACGTACATTCCTCCTGTCACTTGAGCAATGCTTTCAAGAAGTTTCTTTTACGAGGGAAGCAGGAAACAAATTGTGAGATATGGTTGCAGAATACTTCCTTGTTAAACATGAGTTGTGTTGAAATCACTACGATATTGCTGCCTTAGGTCATGCGATACTAAACTTAATTTAAAAATATTAAAGTGCCTTAACTCACATACAAAAAGCTCCTGTGGAGTTATGAATTCGATATCGAACAAATTCGATCAGGAGCACAAAAAGCTTTTTTGATTTTTGTCATTAAATAACGAAATTGGCAATTCAATTGATGAAACGGTTTTAAAAAATGCCTATGTATTGTCTTAAATAACAAAAAAATAAGAGTTTGGAAAATAAGATGGAAAATCAAGTATGACGCCATAGCCCCTTTAAACACGTGTTGTATACCAAAACATCTATACGCCAGAAAGCTTCACTGTCCATTTTTTTGACCAGGGGCCCATTTCTCGAAAGTCCGGAAAGCTGTTTTACGTTGACCTTGTTTGCATTCAAGTTCAAAGTTTCAATAATTGTGAAAATGATACAATGAAACTATCAGTTAACGAAGCAAAATTGGCTGGTTTGTGAGCTAGGAACTGTGCTACTATTCAACCGGTTTTGATTTTAAAATTTGCCTTCGGGCCCGAAAAGTTTCCGGGCCTTTCGAGAAACAGGCCCCAGAAACATTAGCACGGCTATCTTTATCATGAAAGAAGGATCGCAAAAAATACCAACGAACTTCTAGAATTTGATAAGTTGTTTTTGCCACCACGAAATTTTCGCCAGAACTCGTAATAGACCAACAACTTTATTAAGAAGCAACGAATGACAACGGCTATCAAGTGTTCCCACCAAAACACTGATTCACCCGCGCGTACTAACTACTTCTTAGTTTCGAGAACTGTCGTCCTCGCCTTAGAATCTAAAGCTCTAGAGTTAGTAACCTTGACCATACATGAACAATCTGATTGTTGTTTCCTGATCATAATTTATAAGAAAAAATGTATTACCTTATCTGCATTCCCACATCCAACACAAGCAATTGGAATCTTATGTGGAAGGCCCACTTCTTGCCAGCGAGCTCCAAAAAGAACTGCAGCGACTAACACTTCTTTCAAGGCCTGAAAGATTAATTGGAAAAATATTAACCGTTATTTAAACTGAAATCAGCCAATCAGCGTGAACTGAAAGAAATCAACTGTCATTCACTAGCCGCGATTGGCGTTATATAATTCAAAGTTATAAACAACCATAAATCATTTCAGTTAACTTGTAACTAACTAGTTTCTTCATAGAATTAAAAATTTATAACTGCTCCCGAAATTCGAGGTTTGTCAGCGAGCACAGCATTCAGCATTTGGGTAATAGTGCGTCCGTTTCAGGTGTGATTGGTAGGCACGAAGATCACTTATATTGGTAACCAGATGTAAAAAGTAAAAACGTTGAACAAGTGGGAGCTGGTGTAGATTTTTTTGGTATCACGTTTATTTCTTCTTCAGCGATGTAGCCTGTGTAACTGCTGTAATTTTTAAGCCTGCGTCTGGGTCCCCAATTGACAAAACGAATTACCAGAAGTGCATTTCGAATTTCCTTTCAACCTGATTGGCAAATCGACAACGGCTCCTTGACAGGCTAATCAAAGCGCGTACTCACATCGTGGTACACAGGTAGGAGCCCAGAAGAAGGATTTCGGCGCTGTTTCGCAGACGGACATAACCAGGATTACGTTTTATCTGTGGCGCAGGCTATAAGTTTGTGGCGTGCGCGGGAACGAGCCCTTTCTCCTCTGGTCTTCGCTGCTTGAACGTTCTCCCCTCCCCCCCTGCTACTATTAGCCCTCCCCAACAAAACCGCCTGCTACGCAGGCCATGAGCGATGTTTCGCTAGATTTTAAAAGGAGTGGGAAATAAAGGGGAGCTCTTGCTTTTTTTCTATCTTACTTGCTCTGTTTCACTTCCATTTTCATTCGTTGGCTTTCCGTCCGTCATAAGAATAATACGCGGGCAAAGTTTTCTTCCATTTACATTAACTACACCCCCTAAAAAAGTTAAAGAAAAAAGTATTGTCAATGTAAGGGTTTAAACCAGTCGCACATGTCATTGTTATTTATATTATACGTATTTAAACCAGTAGTTTCTACAAGCTAGCTATTAGAAGCTCGCTGGAACTTGGTGCGTGTGTTTAATTGGTTCAACTGATTCGAATATACACAATACTGATTCTTGTATCAGCCTGTGAAGAGTACCAACAAATATATATGGGAATAAAAAAAAAACTTCGCATGAAGTTTTAAATCTTTAATAAAGTTGTAAAATCGGTCTATAGAAAACTAAACGGGCAACTGGAAAAGATCAAAAGGCTTTCCCCCTTGTGTATGAAGGAAGAAATTTAGGCATCCGTAGGTTCTGGCTCACCAATAGAAGGAAGATAAAAAAACTCTAACGTTAATAAAAAAGACTTACCGTTGCTCACAATTTCCTTTAGAGCCATCATCAAGCCATCTTTCATTGGAGTCACACCATTAGCTGTAAGACCAGCTAGTGAAAAAAGTAATGATAGTGGTTGAAGCAACTCACTATAATGGTAGTGACATTGGCATTGGCAGTATTGCTAGTAGTGGTAGTGATAGTGGTAGTGGTAGTGGCAGTGGCAATGATATTAGCAGTGCTAATTGTAGTGGGATTGGTAGTGGTGGTGGTAGTTCCAGTGGCATTGGAAGTTGTAGTGGTTGTGGCAGTGCGGTGATAGTTTCAGGGGTATTGGTAGTGGTAGTAGTAGTGGTAGTGGTAGCAGCAGAAGCAGTGGTAGTGGTATTAGTAGTGGTGGTAGTGGTAGTAATGGCAATGTTGGTGCTAGTGGCAGTGGCAGTGATAGTGATAATAGTAGTGGTAGTTGTAGTTGCATTGGTAGTGGTTAGAAGTAGTGGCAGTGGCGCTGTCAGAGGCGGTGGTAGAAGTAGTAGAAATGAAAGTGGTGAGGACAGTGAGAATGAGAATGGTAGCGGTAAAGGTGTCGAAACTGGCAAATACAGTAATAATGATAGCAATGATGGTAGTTATAGTAGCAGTGGCAGTAAAAGAGGCACTGAGTGACAGTGGGGGTGGGAGAGAAAGTAGGTGTGGAAATGGCAGTGGCACAGTGGTGACGGAAGTGGCTGTTCCATGAGATGATATGTAATATCTAGCTTAACCAACAATCCAAATATATATTACAATGATCGACAGAGCAGGACAAGAGGTTTCACTGAAAAGATTAGAATGCATACCTATACTTCTTCGAATGTTGAAGTAGTCCGTGGAAAGCCTGTGCAAAACTTGCGTTTTTGCTCCAAATACCACGATGGCAACATTTTCCTGAAATGAAACGAAATCTTTCGAAGCCAATAGGCCATTTTGGAGTTGCCTTAAGCCTCTGTTTCAAAACGAGGCTGAATGCAAAGCCATTTTTTACTTGCCTTAGACATCATGACTTATTCTTGATATTTTTTATGATTTTAGTAAGTGCAAGTTGAAGGTGTTGCTGTTAATATTCTGGCTGCTGTCGTCAACAAACGATAAAGTTAAAATGGCTCATTTGGCGCGTTTTTTAGTATTATCCCCCGCTTATGCCAAGGAACAATTACCCTGGCTCCAAAAGTTTCCAGAGGTTCTTTCTCTGACTGAGAGTAAGGAAAAATTGTACGCATTACCTCAACGAAAACCTCTCGAGAAAAATCTGCTGGTGTTATGGTAAGAAAAATGCTATATTAAAAGACGTAAATACGCTCTCTTAGGGGTTTAGAGTTGATTCTTTGTGGATGCAGTTTACATGAAACTCCGGAATTCGAACCCGAAGAAGTCGTTTTCTCGGACATTGATCTTTAGACATCATTAATTTTTTCATAGACCTGTGACATGAATACGGAAGTAGAATGTTTTTTCACGTGATAGTCCTGTGTAAATTAACCCGTCATTGTTGATGCGTTATTATAATAAATGGCAATTAAAAACAAGACCAATCAACCTGAATTCGTAATAATCACTTTACATCAGCTTCCAAGGCACAACGCTTCTGACATTTTATGCTTTCGACGCCGAGTTTTTTTCTCCTTTTTCCTTCACCTAAATGAAAACTGATCGCATGTTAAGCTTTCATGCTTGTGACACAGTACGGTGACCGCAAGAAAAAAAAAAGATATTCAAAATGGAAAGATAGATTTGACTTCTTATTTGGCTAAACTGTGCCTGAGATAATAGGTTCATTATTGTGTTGTTAAGTTATTGCTGTAACTATTTCTTTATATTTTATTTCAGTAAAGAGTAGCTGATTACCTTTAAACCCGCTTGTCTTGCAGTGTCTTCCACTCCATCAAGAAACTTCGAGGCTGCAGCCTTGAGCTGGCTCATACCTTCGTTATTGTTTGAGCCCATGGAGGACGAGGTATCTAGGCACAGAACTGTATCCAGCGGCATATTTATCGGTTTTGTTCTAAAATGAGATCATTTCAAAATAACGTACATGTACAGTATTCTCAATGATAAAGTCCGGCGAAAGGCCCTCAACGATAGAGCTACCCTCAGGGCAACTAACACAAATCTGCTTAAAGATATTTTGCAGACAAAATTTGATCGGCCTACAGTGCGACGTTGGCCCACTCTGACGTCCTTTAATTTTGCGTAAAGAAACTGCATGCAAAATTATTTTTGTGAAACGACGTTCCACTCTGGCGTCCTTTTGCGTAAAGAACTGTTAATTATTCTTGAAGCAAGCCTTTGCTATTAAGATAACGTCAATTTATAACCTAAAGTTTTTGCAAAGGTACCGCTTTACACGCCCACGATCTAAATCATGGCGACACTTCTGTCAGGGAAACTGCAACACTGCTTTTAGTATTGATTATACTTCCGATCCGGCAGTTCCCGACCTGTTGAGCAAACAGAAATTTTTGGTCAATTTCCTCATACCTCAACCGCTGTGGTGCGCGAATTTCGTAATGACTGCTAAGACAAAACACCACGTAGGCAGCGAATGGTTATGATCTTGAGATTAAAGGTAATCACAAGCGTATATAAAAAAAACGTTAACCCAAACAACAATTCAGGTTAGACCAGTTTCTAGATAGAAATTTCGGCCTCGTTCTCGTAAAGGGTGTGTCAGGATTTGCATGTCTTACATAGCGGTCCCAGTTTTCGGCTGTGCAAGAGAGATATATGTAGGGTAAAAGGCATTTAGAGTAGGGAAAGGATTTTTCGCTCTTTTTTTAAATAAAGTTTATCATTTCCGGCCCGCTATTTCCCTGGGTTGGTATATGCTAAAAATAATTATTCTCCTCAGGCTAGGTTAATATTTAACACTGAATGATTCAAAATGCAACATTGACTTCACTCCAATCCAGACTCCAAATGACAATCACTTCTCGCGCTGGACTTGAAAAAACATTTTGGTCATCAATAATGCAGGCTATCGCCAGAAAAAGGCGCGGCAACCGAGCCGTTGGGACGAGGTTGTGTTAATTCAGCTGGAAAGTTAGAGCTAGAATTAATATTCGCCGATTAAAGGTTTCGTGGTCACGCGTGGTGGTAGGTGACGAACATTTGATGCATTTCTGAACAAAAAGAGAACAAGAACACCAAAAAGGAAACGTCGAATGATCTGAGGATTTTAAGGGACTGAAAAAGAAAAAAAAAAGGAGAAGTAGCTGGATATCAACCTCGTCCCCTGTGATTTTCCCTTAGAAAATCAGAGGGCCCATTTTCTTAGGTAAAAGATATTATCCCCGTGGAACAATAATAAATGAAAATCGTGCTTGCTGTGGGAAAGGATTACCATTTCCGTTACCGGTTCCATTTTTGAGCGCGGGCTCATTCCTCAAGGAGCGGCTGAAATGTGTCTCTTCACGTCCTTGGCTATTGAAACTCAAAAGATATTATGATTTCCTCCCCAGAATTAAATTTTACCCCTGCAAACTTAACAGGAAAGACCAACTTAGCCCCGAGTAACTTTGACTGGTACTGACGGAGAATTCAGTACCTTGCAATTCAACCTAGGAAGTACAGCTTAGTTAATTATCTAAACGTGTAAAACTTATTTATCAAACATACATTAAGACTGATTTCTGTGGAGGCCCGTTCTAGTCAAAATCGGTTTTGATAACTGCACCATAAGTCAATTTTTTTTGTCAGTGCATCACTCATCATGGACCCGTTGTGAATTTTTGTGATCACAACACAATCCTTTTTTTAGCGTGTTGCTGATTATTTTTAGCTGCTTGAATTATTTTTTTAATTAAGTGCAGTTATTTTTTTTGTATAAAGTCCTAAGAAAAAATTTTTCATTCGTACCACGAACTATTTTTTTTAGTGGTATTGCGAATTTTTTTTTACCTCAAGTGTTAAGAATTGTTTTTTCATTGTGTTGATAATTATTTTTCGCGGTGCAACTTATTTATTTTCTTTGACCTACAATACATTGCGGGCTTGTGATTGACGGGGAATGGCTTCAGTGCCTTTACGATGGCAGTAATTCCTGATTTCTAACATTATATTTTTAATATTCGAAGATGAATGAGCCTGTCCAACGGAAGATACGTGAGATAGCCAATAATGCCATAATATAAATCAATCGAATTTCCCAATCGAATTTCCCAGAATTATTATTCGCGATACCGCGAAAAATAATTCTCCGCCCAACGAAAAAATAATTCTCGATCGATACACATTAGAAAAATAATTCAAAGTACCACTGAAAAATAATTCGTGGTATGAATGAAAACATATTCGTATAATTATAACAAAAATAATTCGTGTTGCTACAATAATTACTAACACGCTGAAAAAAGTATTGTTTAATTTAGTGAAGACAAAAATACACAACAGGTCCATAATATTTGCTGCAGTAGGATTAAGATTAACTTGCGGTGCAATTTTATTGTCATGATTTTGACCAGAACAGACCTCCACAGATAATTTCCCTGGGGTTTTCCAACCTTGAGCTGATTTTTACAGTTTCCAGTTGCATTCCAACCTGACTACTCATTTCTTCTTTGAGCAGCAGGTGCCTATGATTTCACAGCCTTTCTTGGGGCTCTCTTTCTGATCTCTGCGTCTCCTCTGTCCACGACTGGGGCTAGCCACCACCTGCTGAACTTGTTATCACTGATTTTTAAGCCCGAAAAAACAGCCGACATTTGGCGACGCCACCGCTGCATGGTTTCCCCGCGAAATGCGGTCTGAGGAACGAGCACAGAAATTCCCCACAGATGACGTGTTACTATCCTGAGCTGGGCAGTGCTTCTGATTGGTTGAAAATTTGCTTCAACCTATCAAAAAAGGGCACTACCCAGATCTGGATAGTAACGTGTCATATGGATTCTGCCCTCCTTCCTCAGGCGTCATCTTGCGGGAAACCGTCCCTACAATCGCGAAATGCCAGCCGTTTTCTCGGGCTTAATCTGTTTTCTCAGTTTGCTATGTCTTTATTAAAGCTAGCGCAACTAAAATTTTTATCGACGTGTTTTTCCCCGGGAGAAAATCGACGTAACCTTGTTTGGAGTACATGTACTGCAGGCCTCGTGCCGAGACGTCTCTCTCTTGACGAGAGAGGCAGGTACATGTACATGTGGGTCGAAAAAAACCAAGAATAAATAGTGGAACACTCCTCGAAGGAAGACATTTCCAATCTTTTTTTTTCTTTTCCTATTCCATGAATTCGGAATAAAATGAAGTGAACTAAAAATATCGAAGGTCAAAAAACGGTAGATTTTGAATGACTGTTAAACTGGTCCATGAAAGTGCTTTCACTAGATTGAGTACTTGTCTAGTGTGGCCTTAGTATAGTGAAAAAATGAAATTCGATTGGAAGATTAGAGCGTATAACTGAGAGTTTGTTATTAAACTGGAGTTATTTTTTTCTCGTAAAACTTCAAACCAGTGTAGTATTGATGGTGTAATTAATACGACCATCTAGTACCCTCTCATAATTTGTGTGTTATCCATTTTTCCATGCATACTGGATAAAGTCGTTCCGTATTCCAATGATAAAACCTGGTGGATGATTCTGTCGTGTTATTAAATAGCGGCAAAGCCCTAATCACACCGCTGCTGTACTCAATACCCGTTGCGTGACTATCCAAGCAACAAAGCGACAGCTGCGTCGAAGACGACTACGACAGCTTGGCCCGGGGGGAAAGGCATACTAAAAAAAAAAACTATATAGGGAGGCTTCATCCTACGGTCCAACCCCTGAACCTTTTATTTTTGACAGAAAGGGACCGCTTTCGCATAACCTTTTATTGTCAAATGGTACCCCCTTCACAGACCTAGTTTAGAACTTTACATCCCTCTCAAAGTAAGCGTTCCCCACCAGCACGAAACCAAATTAAATCACTTTCGCGAAAATAACGTGATGACAGGAGCGGGCTGAAGACTAAGAAAAAGTTTTAAAAAATACTAGCCAAAAAATCTACAAAATCAATGTGTTTTGTCAGGAGCCCATAACCCCTGGAGGGGGGAGGTTACTTCCTAGTAGTAGGCTAATGGGTATATGTCGCTGGATGGGGTCGCATTTTCACGACTGGATTGACTTTTATGGGGTTGCGTTTTTATAAGGGTTACTAGAATGGGGTCGCACATTTTCAGGATTTTGGGGTCAGAAAATTCAGTGTGTGGGGATTCAAAAATAGAAAGATTTACACCACATCAAGTTTAACAAGATTGTCAGCTCATTTCAGGGTGATGTAGTTAAAAAGCTTTATAGATGCACAAACAGAGAGTGAGTAAGGTGGGATTGCGAAAATTACTTTTTGCCAAAAGTGACTAAGATGAGGCCGGTATATAATATCACAACAGAATAGACTATAAAATAATGGGGTAGGGTTTCTGAGAGGCCAGCGGCACATACTCAGCAAAACTTAACCCAAGTACCCCCCCCCCCCCCCAGGCCCATAACCCGGGTTATGGGTTTTGTCCGTTACTGCCTTCACAGTTTGACAGAACATCTCTAACGTGTGTAATGTACCGAGATTGGGGTGCCTGTGGTGAAACACTTGAACGCAAACTGCAGCGAATTATTTTTGGTATGCTACGCGTTCATTCACGTTCGCCTCAATGTCAACATGCCGACCCTGTTGCATTGTCAGAGAGTGTTGTTTTATTTTCGTCCTTATGGATTATATTTTTCCAATTACGGTCCCACTGTCGACATTGCGGTACAAACAAAGGCAAAGGTCACAGCACAATGAGATCTTGTCTAAGAAATCGTTGTCTAATCAAATTTAAGGAGGATAATTAATAGAGTGTGACGCAAACAGAGTGTATCAATAACTAGGACAACTGAAACACCGACAAGATGTTTAGTTTATATAGTCTGGCACACCTCCTTGCCAAAGAAAACATTTCGTGCCAAACGGTTTTAAACGTGATATTGATTCCTCAGGGGCTGATTATGCGACTTTTTGCCTTTTGAAATCGTGAAATTTAGGTCTACGAAATTGTTCTGGGTTATTGATTAATAATTTTTTGCCTGTTTATATGTCTATCTTTAAAATGAACTGATTATGAGCATGATGAAAGAAAGATTTTCATTACCTCAAAACGGAACGTTTATTATTTCCAAAGCAAAGGTAAATAAAACACACTTGGCGTCTTATGGACCAGTAAATAATGCCATTTGCGCCCTCTGATTGGCTGACAAGCTCCAGTTAGGCCAGTTTTACGCAAAGCGGCGATGGGATGAGGGGTAACTACTTTTTAAATCAGACGTTTACTGAAATGGTTCATTCGAAATAAAGTCACATGCTACTTCACTTGAAAGTTTTGGCCATGTTGTCATACTTGAACGCTTACAATATACAATATTACGCAATACAAAAATGAATCGAATCAGCTGCCGAATGGTGAAATTTGTTTTTAAAACATACTGATTAAGTTATTTTAGCTTGCCGTCTTGTTTGTTACAGGAATAAAAAGCATCGGCGGGTGAGGTAAGGATCCTAGACTATTCACCAACCGGACCTCGAACAAATTCTTGAGTGTCATTATTAAAATGAACGTAGCGGTGAAACTTGGGAGGCAATATAATTATCAGTGACCTCTTTTGATCAAGAAAGGAATCGGTACACTGAATGGATTCCACTCCGCAATTTTTAAAATAATATTGAAAAACATATTTTTGTATTCAAGAATTGAACGCCACTTTGCAGTTGCGAATTCATAATGTTTTTAGGAATATTAACAGAGTATTCAATAAAAGTGAAAGACGTTTATTATATCTGACTGACAACGAATTGTGTTTTTCACAATGCAGTTTCGACACGTTCTGTCATATCATCCTCGTATGATAATTTCACTTTTTGTAAAGGCGTATTTTTGATGTTTTGTTAATGGGCTCAACAGACAGATAGTTGTTCCAATCCTCAACTGGTTAAAAGTCTTATATGTACTTAACGATTTAGCACTTCTATAGCGTACGTGGTTTTTTTTTATTGTACTCTATTTCAATTCATGACTATTTTTGTTTTTTGTTATTCACCTGCTTTGCTTGGCTGTCGTTCTAAAAAAAACATTATTTATAGTTACATGCACTATTTTCTCGTCTTCACGGCAAACTTACAGCTATTTCGTTACTCAATAAAATGTTTCTCGATCGATGATGTATGTGTTACACTTCATTAACTGCATTTTTTTTCTATTTCTATTTTGTATTATCATAAATGGAATATGGAGAATGGCCTGATCTCGTATTTTTTATTATTTTAAATAGGGCAAAACGAACTTGTCATCGCGCTTTCTAAGGGGACCAATAAAATTCGCCCTTATTGTATTAAGCCATTAAAATTTATCCACTCAGATAATTTACTTTTTCAATGGAAGCTTAAAAATTTTGAAAATAATTTTCGCTGGTTGCCATGTTTGTCATTCAAATGTTGACACCCGTCATTCGAGTTTCGCCCTCCTATTTAATATTTATAGCACGTGAAATGAAGGCGATGTAAACAAGATTGTGCCTTCTTGTTTTCTCAAGTGGCGTTATCGCAGAGGGTGAACAGTGCGTACGTGATCATTAGAGAAGGTGCTGAAAACGGAAAATTGCTGGAAATTCTGGATCCGTCGATTGGGGGACGATGCTGTTTATTACAGACAAACCTGTCTCCATGAATGAATGGAAAGAAACACATCGCGCGGATGTGGAGAAGGTTTGTGCTCGCAAAAGTTCGAAGGAAGATGTCGAGATCCTCAGTCAAAGCATGGAAGAAAACCAGGCTGTAGTTGAGGGGATGAAAAGCCGCGTACCTCCCCCTCAAGTTAAGGGCGGAAGGATTCGTCGACACTCTTCGTACGAACCAAATCTCGATGATATACTGGAGGATGAGGAACAAAAAGCAAAAGGAAGAGCGCAGAGTCGAAACCTCGCGGAAATCCATCGCGAGCGAGCAAGAGATTCTGGGTTTTTAAAGAGGGACCGCGAAGGACGAACCTGGCGCAGACGACACTTCGTGAACAACAACTGTCCAAGAGCGCGGTCGTATACAGCTTGATGATCTGACTAGCTAACAGCCACGATTTGTGTCGGTGGTGCCAACGAAAGATCGATCTTCAAAACATTACTTTCACTTAGTCACGTGCACTCACAGTTCCATGTGCAAACACAACAATGGCTAAAAAAGCCAACTTTGTCTGGCGACAGGTAATTGTATCCCATGGGTATTTTCTTGTACACACATACAACTGACCCTCTTAGGAAAAGATGACAAGGAGCTGGCAACCACAACGCCCTCCAAGTAAATCTTTGAACGAGTGATGGCCAGAGCGCAACGAAACCTTCGCAAGTATTTGTAATCACATTATCTCATCTCCAATGCATGTTTTGAAATTAGCGAGGCGCTATATGTCACGTCTTAGGGTGATACCTTTTATAATAACAACTTTTTTCACAGATTCAGACACGGAACAATTTCAGTGGGATTTTAGTATACAACAGTCGAACCACAGCCGCCTCAGAAAATTGCGATTTCGAGTTCAATAAGGCCTGCTTCAAGAGCTTCTGCAGACAAACACAAAAGAAAAGCATGTTGATGAGGACAAAAAAATATAATCTTGTTTTTTATTATCATTTGTCACTGAGACATGACATGCGCCCTAGCTAAACTCACTCTGAAACAGATTTACTTTCAGAGCTGCAAAAGCTCAAATGTAAACCTTGATTCATGAGTTAAATTAACACTGACTCATTTGTAAATAACGCTCATATGTACAGTTCAATTCACTCAATAGTTGAGACCTCGTTCTCTTCATTTCGGAGAAAGCAAGACGGGTTTTTAAAACCCTTAATTTTGTTAAAATTTCTTTTGAACGGGCGGAAATACCAAAAATTTATATTTTGAGGAACAAGTTTATTAAATCTTCGCTTTTTTGAGAGTCCTCAAAGCAGCGGAATAGCTGCATGGCGTTTATTGTATTTTAAGCGCCTTTACATTTCTATTGTAATTTAAATGCACGTGTGGTTGATAGAAGAAAAAACACCAACCCCGGATGCAATCGACCTGAACGTTTGTTGATAGACTCCGAGGTGGTCCAATACTCGCAGTAAAGAGACGTAACTTACTTAAACATATAATAGAAGTGTAAAAATTTAAAGAAATATATAATTAGGTGAAGAAAGTACGACTCTAGAGGGCAGAAATGCATGAAAAGACAAGTTCTATCCTCAGTAAGATGTCCTTATGTCGCATTGTTGTAACCAAGTTCCGAAAATTGTAACTCTAACACGTGAATACACCGACACTAGGAAAAAAAGGAGCAGCTTAATTGTTTTTTGGTTGATCTGTCAGTTCATTCACGTGCCATTGAAACTCCGAGTTCCGTAAATATCATAGGCTAATTTACGTGTATTTATTTTGTAACTAACGTCCTACTCATTGTTTTTTCGCCTCAGTTGATGTTTGTATATAATGTAAAAAATATATTCAGAAGAAAATGTCTTGATGGTCTTCCTTGGTTTGTTGTTCGTAACATTTTCTGCATATTACAAACTTTTAAATAAATTAAACCATAGTCAGATAATTTACATAGCAGAAATCATTGGAAACATGTTTTGAACTAAGTCAAAATAAATTTGCATGTCAAAAGCGGTTTTTCCGGGTAGCTTCTGTCACGTTTGCTCTCAAGCAAAGCCTTCTTTTTAGAAACAGGTTTTTAAAAACAATTACTGCATTCCATTAACGTAACTGAGCAAATGATATATACTTGAAGGTCGTTGAAACTGTTTCACTAAAAAAATTGACTGCAACATTTGTTATATTAAAGCCATACAATGATTTTCATTAGGATTTGAAACTCTTAAAAAAGCTGCAGTCAACAGATAACTTTTCACATGGCATTTGAGTGACCAAACAGACGTTTTGCGAGCAAAAACCTGAGTAACCGTAAACATGGTATACCATCCAGAATTTAGGATGGCCTGGGCCACTCTGCGTTTAATTTTTACTATGGGGACAGAAAACATAGATATTCGTGTAGTTCTAAGTAAGTGCATACAACAGTACCAAGGCGGAAGTATTGTTAGTATGAGGAGTACACTTTGGTTTAGCGTCTTCCCCTATTTCATTTATTTCTTTTATTTGTTTATCATGTAAATTTTTTCTGTCAGCTGTCTGTTCACGGATTATCATATGTTGATCACCGGATCGGAGTCAAAGGTGGCTGTTGACTGAATTTGTGGTCGGCAAACCAAAGACCTTTTATAGATAATTACCGCGGCAGCAATTCCTCCATTGTTTTCCAGCAGACACAAAATAAATACTCCCCGAGGCAGGATCATGTAAAAGGTAGAGTTTTCCTTTTGAGTTCGAATTTGTTCTAGAGCCGCTGTTAAGACCACATCTGCCTTCATGGTTGAAGTAAACCCATTTTTTAAAGGGCAAAACACAGTTTTTAGCAATGATATATTTTAATTGCTGGTTTAACCGCAGATTGACAATGATCTTACTGATGATCATTACATTAGAAGAATTATAATCCATTTCCTTTTAAACCATCAGTAACCCAGGAAATGCATCAGTTACGGTTTTCATTTTGCCAAAAATAGCCCCCAAAACATCGGTCAACCTCTTTACTTCAAGCTTTTATTTGCAAATTTCTGTCAGATGAAATTTGCAAAGATATTGAGACTGGATATAATAGTTTTCTCACACATAGGAAAAGCGCTATAACCAGTGTAAAGCGGTTGACAAGAACTATCAGGTAGAAGACAGGTGCCAAAATTTGGCAAATAATCTGGAATGGAAAAAGTGACTGGCATAATATTTAACAATGTGGAAATTTGAAAAAATATCAACAATTCTTAATCTTCACGAATTCTGTAAGAATTAGAAGAAAGTCAGTTTCAGTTTTCGTCTAGCTCATATAAAGGCTTTTGAACCTCTATGACAAAGATGAAAAATTAAACACCACCACGCCGACTGCGCGCACAGTACCAACAAACTAAATTGTAACATTTCGAGAAAATTGATAAAATCAGTGTTTTCAAACTGAACATCGAAAAAAGAAAAAGGAACGACGAAAACAACAAAATCAAACAAAACAACAACAATAACTTTAGCGTCATGTCCAACTAAACTGTGCAGTGCTGTGCATGGAAGAAGAAATAGACAGTCTATTTGAACAAGAAAATTATTTATATTAACCCACCTGTCTTCTAATCATAATATGAATTACAAAAGTACCATTTACAAAGGTCCATCAGCAAAGTAATGAAAAATATACATTTTTTAATCTATGCAATGTTAAAACACGAACAGCAGTGATTTATCATTGATCAAAAATTCGAGTGCGAAGCGCGAAATTTTTAACTCTCTTTCGCGAGCCGGAAGCATCAACAAAACAGAAAAACATGAGAAAACATTGAGAAAACATTCTACTCAAAGATCTCTGAAATACAACAGAACCGCAACTTTTAAACAGCTGCGCTCTACTGTAATTGGTAATATTACGAGAACAGCCGCTGAAATATTTTTTTTCTCCTCCACACGTACAGCAAGATAATATCTGGAAATACGCTCTAGGCCTAAAAAATAACGTAAAATACCGTAGACCACTACTTTTTCTCAGTCACTGTCAGTAGTGATCCATTAAATGTAACCGAACAAGGATCACTAAACATTCCACAGCGATCATCTGCTGTAAGAGCACGAACGGTAAAGGAATAAGAAGCGCCGGGCAAAAACTGATTTAAGGTACACGCCATTGGAAGATCAAGAGCGTCTACAAGACCAAGAAGGTCCCAGCAGTTCGACGAAGTAGTTTCAGTAGAAGATGACATAGCAAACAACTCATACTTTTTCACCTTGGATTCATTTTCTCTATTTTGTAAATCCCACGATAAAACAATACCGTTATCACTTTCCTGGACAGTAAGAATAGGCTTAATCAAACAAGGTGCCTCGAGCATTTGGGACTGAGAGGGTTTACCCTGTCGGTTTGGTTGTCGCCCAGGTGTATCGAGATCTGTCTGAAGCTCTTTTTCGGTAACAGAACATGGCTCAGACTCTCTACTTGGTTCAACAGAGCATGTTTCAAAGAGTTCTTTCCCTTCATCTGCGACGGGTTTGGTTTCTGAATGGCCCGTACTGTTTATGTCAGTAAATGGACTTTTTCGCTCGGATTCTGCAGGTAAAGGTGGAGGGGTGTCTTCAATACTCTGAAAAATAGGTCTATTCAACATAAGGTCTTTCTTAGTCACTCTACTGTTAATTGACAAATCAACTTCCCCCTCACTTTCTAACAGTGACGTTTTGGCTGGTACCGATCCACCTGAATGGGATCTGGGCATGACAAAAGTACGATTTTCCTGCCGTTCACGACAAACAGAGCTGACAATAGGTCGACTATTTGTTTCATCCAGTGAAGATGAAGGCCTTGAAGGACCGCTCACAGAATATACGGTAGATGCCTTTAACGTCGAGCCCGCGGATGAACTACATGGAATATTTGCATAAGGTACTGCTGTAATGCTTCCACACGTGGTATCGTCAGGCGGGGGTTGACTACTGATGTTTCCTGCTTGACAAACCACCGCCTGCAAAGTGTGTGGTGCATTTGCTGAAAACTCGGTAACGTTTTTGCCAGAAACCCCGACCTGCTGGTGCGATGTTTGAACTGGAGTCGCCAAGTTGCTCTGGTTTGGTCCAATATTTATGCCATTTCCATTCTGGATACCAGTCATATCTCTTGCTCCTTGCCAAGACAAATCCGATCCCGTACGGGCATTTTCTGTTTGCGTCAATGATGCCTGAGAGCCAACTTGAACCACTGCTGATCCATTACTACTTGTAGAGCAAAATGATTTCCTAGGAATGGACGTTCCTTGAGAAGGTGCAGGGGGTACGGATAAATGAAAACCCTGCTGCCATTGTGGTTTGGTAGTTGGCGGTGAATGAGAGCATACTCTGGTTTGTGCCACCTGATAAGAAGAGGTTGGGGGTTGTAGATATTCTGCTCTCTGCTGGTAATGCACCAACCATGAAGGTGGCGGTTGCTGTTGTTGTTGTTGCTGGTGCTGGTTTTGTTCCTCATGCTGAAGTTGATAACGATTTACTCGTACCTGCTGCTGAGAACTTTGTGGTTGTCGTTGTTGCCACTGTTGCTCTTGCCGTTTCATTAGCTGGTGTTGTTGCTGCTGTCGATATGGCTGTTTTTGGTGGTAGCAGTGGCGTTGTTCAACTGGTTGTTGTGGTCGATGTTGGGGTTGATGTTGCTGTTGGCGCCATTGTAGCTGTTGCTTTATCAAAAAACGTTGTTTTTGTTGTTGTTGCAGTTGTTTTAAGGTAAGTTGTTGCTGTTGTGGTCCTTGTTGTTGATGGTGTTGCTGTAGCTGCTGTGTCTCGTGTTCTTTTTGATGTAGGTGTTGTTGTTGTAAATGTAACTGTGCCACGTTTTGCTGCTGTGGTTGCTGTCGCTGGCTGTGTAAGTAATAATTTCTTAAATTACCATCACCTCCTCCAGGCACTATCTGCATGTTGGCACCATGATATAGTTGTTTTTCGTTCCCTCTTACCTGCCAATAAGCCTCCGTATGTGGACTACCAGATGGCATTGCATGTTCCTGTCGATGAAAGGGGAACCGCGGATGATTTGAGTGAAGATGCTTTTCCGGATGCGTTGGCAGTGAACGCGAGTATGTTTGAGACGACCCGTTTGGTGCTTCTTGTAACTGAATCGGTAGCCCGTTCTGGGCACTTAACGGAGCAACCGGTATGGTGGCAGAAGAAAGGTGGCTTGGTCTACCCAAACCTTCAGCAGTTGGTCCTGAAAAACGACTGAGCTGAGAATTGTTTGAATGGGATGTGGTTGGTAGTCCTTGCTGCGATGATTGAGGCTGGAGAGAAAAATGCGCGTTTGTCCCAACTCTTTGCGCATTTACCCTAGGTAAATCTGGCCTTTCCTGTTGTTGCACATGCGGTTGAAATACGTTAGCTTGCCCTTGTCTTGTGTTTTGCTGACTGGTATCAGGAGGGCAACAAACGCATTCACGCAATGGCCTTTCGATCTGACTGGTCTGTTGCTTGCTAGCTAGAGCAGTTTCCCCACGTAAACAGGATGTAGCTCTATAAAAAGACGTTTCTTCCCAATGATAGCGTCTTACATTAGGGTACGAATGCGGAAGGAGTTCGTGAAATTCTCTAATACGATAACCAGAAGGAGGACACTTTGTAGATGGGATGTTCCTCAGCCGTTTGTCGCATCCTTTAGGATGATCGTTCTTTGCATCGGCCACAGCTTGCTGGCCTTGAGGAGCAAGGCTTGCGACACTTCTAATATCTCGGCTTTTACTGAATGAATCAGGCCGTGCTGGATCAGCTTTTGCTTCCCCCTGATTAGTAGGCAGCAGCGCATTTTGTTGAATTTGTGTCATGTGGGCGTTTTGCTGGGAAACAGTGTGTAGTGTAGTGTCTGGGGCAGGAAATATTTGCTGAGGGTGAACAGTGGCGATGCGATGAACTGACTGAGCCTCTTTTTGATTTGCAAGAAAAGGTGTGTAACTTGAAGCAAGCCTCTGTTGTCTTCCTGTCCCAGAAGTATTCGCCGGCAAATTTAAAGCGGCTCCGGGTTTGGGCATGGGGACATTTGAAGCTCTCATATGAGTGGCCTCGTTTCCATTACAGCCTGACCTATGGCCTGACCTACTATCCATAAGCCGATGCTCCGGAAGGACAAACGAATCCTTACTAGAAAATTGTTGAGGTGCATGATGAAGAACCGACTGTGACTCAGAGCTAATAACAGAGCAGACATTCAGGATTTGAGGGTATGGGTAATTGTCCTGAACTGAACGCATTGCAACGGATACTGATACTGCCTCATGAGGAGTGAAATTGCACCCTTTATTGGTTTGAGAGGACCCAGCACCCGGCGGTGCACTGTTTACCTGTTGTCCACAGACACTGACAATCACTGGTCCATCCGGGGAACTGTACAGCGTGGTCTGTCCGTCTGTGGAAACTGGAACACGTGTCTCTGCCTGGCTACTTGCAACCGCAGCCCGGCTGAGTATCTACAAAAGTGTTACGTGGTAAACAAAGGAAAGAGCACCAAATTAATAGACGCACTATTGCAGATATAGATTTTTCTCCAGATTATCTTCCTCTAGAGAAGTTTCTGTCCATTCATTTCTTTTAAAAAAGTCAAAAACCTCTTTCATACAGAGTGCAGCATAAGATGCTTTTTCCTTGTTACTTTCACAAAACTAAAGGTTGAGAGAGGATTACAAAGACACCTATAGGGAGAAATTAGCCACCATTTTGTCAATTGCCTAACAGGGGTAAAGTTAAACCATGGGGTCAATTTAGTTTCTGTTTACGGTCTGTTCGTAATACAGTGTTCAAATGGAATAAATGACTTGGCTAAAAGGATAGGAAGCTCGCCAAAGACCTGAAAGATACGGCGTTTTCCGACGGTTTACCGAGAAGATTACCCATAGCCGTAATCGCCAACCCAAAGTCATTCAATAAATACAAACAAAATTCACAAAAATAGTCTTAACTTACCATTCCCATTGAGACTTGAGTTCCTCGGGATACAGTCTGCGTTCTTTCTTCCTCGTTCTAAAAAAATGGTCCAAGAAGAATGCTGTTATATCTTACCAGATAATAACATCTAAATTAACATGTAGATTCGAACTAAGTAATGCACAGAAACAACATTAGGCGTTAAATACGTAATCCTAATTTGTTTAAGGAGGATTAAGACATATTCGATCACTAAGCAAACCTTTCGGTTTTATTTCTAAAAAAATGCCGTATCTGAAAAATAATACCTTTATGCAAGGTTTGTATCTGAAATAATTAAATTGTTCGTAGTGACAGAGGACAATAGAAAAATAAATAACTAAAGAATACGCTTACTACACGCAGCTCATTCGCGAATATGTTCCCTTCAGTTGAGATCTTCCGATCGAAACTAGCAGTTTAAAATATATTTTACAAATTTACTTTCGTTTAACAGCAGTTCTGCACAAGGAGTTCACAAGGTTATTTTATCAACCGTAATTCATAACTTATAAGAGATCTACCTCGTTTTGAAGATTCGTTATAAACCCCTGCAGTCTGTCAGCCTTTTCCTCCAACTCTCGATTTCTTCTTTCGAGATTTACCACCTTCTTTTTTAAAGCTGACACAGTTTCGTTGTACATAGATGTCTGTTGAAACTTTAACATCCGCTTTGCCACCAAGTCCTTCAATGCCTAAAATACAAGAAACACCGAAAATTATTTTCCGAATCACCAATGAAATGTTGGCAGTATGTTAAGCTACTGATCATTCATTTGAAACCTACGAAGGTCGTCCGGATTAATTGGGGAAATTAGGCCAGAAAGTCAAAATTGTGCGGAAACTAGAGACGGAAATACCTGTCCCGTGAAAGCGCCAGGCTGCTCAGCATGAGACGAAACGATGACTCACGATGCTTAGTTCTTACAATCGTTGGAGGACATGCATTGAGGAGGGGTTGGGGGGGTCCAAACTTTGGTTCAGAAAGGACCGTTGATTTATTTTTTCTGGGAAATTACTTCTCGCCAACCCCCCACCCCCACTCCACCCAAATTACCGCTGTCACATTCTATGGCTTCAGCTTCTTCCCCGTTAACTGTTTCATCAGTTTAAATTTCACCTGGATTTGACTGGTTGATAGAAAGAGGCTATCGGCCGAATTGTCGCAACCATTGTCGACAAGTTGAGAAAGCAGAGACGACCACATGTTTCTCAATCTGTGAACGCCGGTCGCTGTTGGTGCTGGAAATACTGCTGTGGAAGCAGAGGCGAACATATCATAGGAAGGTACCCTAAAACAATTACCACTTGAATATCCCTGCAATTTAGTTTAGTGGCAAAACGCAACGCGCGTTTCATTAAAAAAATCAGCCAGTTAAAAAGTGATATACGATCCCGTCGATGTAAGAATTTTAGCCTCAAACAAGCGTCAGGTCTGATGGGGGTCCGAACCCCGGACCCGTCCCCAGGATCCGCCACTGATAAACAGTAGAGACTCGTACCAAGATTAGAAAAATACTGAGAGTACTCCAGGCTTGGCCAACACTCGGAGGACCCAATAACGGTCTAGCACGGGGAGTTCACTCACCTACATTGTTAATCATTATGCTATCCAAAGGTTTCTTGAGCTAACTGCCTGACATATATCTCACAGCGTTCTTTAATTCTTTACCTTTCGAAATCGTCGTCTGAACACATCATTTGAGTCTCGTATCACTAATCGAGTTCTCGTGTCTTCAATATCGTTTCTCCTCGGTGCCAAGTCTGGCAAATCCGGTGCGTTAGCACTGCTTGAACCTTGCCTATCCACGTCTCTAAATGCCTGCATCCTCTCTGAAATAATTTGAACTGAAGAGGTTTGACTCTCATGAGTTTTTCGTACAGCTTTTTCGTGTTTGTCAGAGGATGGGCGAAGCGAGCGTGAATTAGTGCTGTTGCTTGCCCCATGGTAAGAAGCATTCTTTACTGAGATACTCCCTGGATGCATGCGTGCAGTTATACTCTGTTTTTGCTGGTTGTTGGGTTCTGTCTTTTCGTAACCAGTTGACAGTCTCCTTGCTGGAACACGTTGACGTGAACTTCTACGCACACCTGTAACAGCTATCTCAGATGGTTTGTCTCTAGAGCAGTTGAGTGCTTGATTTATGTTATCTTGACCACTTTCAACTTGAGGTTCTTTACTCAGTAACTCGTTAGCTGTGGCTTGACTGGCGCTCCCAGTATCGCCTTGTTTTGTTACTTTCACGACGTGTGCCTCGTTCGTTGCATGTTTGGAAGGCATTTCCGAAATGGAATTTTCATTAACTTGCGGCTGAAAAAAGACGGGTGAAAGATTTGGTTCTTCATCGCAGTCTATCGGTTCTTGTTTAATTCTGTCTAAAATGCAAGAATCCAGTTGGACAAAAGTGACGTCATTTGATGTTATCTCTGTATTTGTTGCACCTGCGACAAAATGAAAAGGCGGTAAAAAGTAAACGCAGAGTACATGTACAAGAAACACACAAAACAGGAAATAACGGTCGCTCAACGGACAAGCTCCGGCCAGAATGGCAACGTGACTAGCCAAAAACTTCACTCGCCGGTCATGTTGACGGGTATTTCATACTCTCATTCTTGAACAAACCATCCTCAGCTGTAAATCTTAGATTTTTGTCTCTTTCTAAAAATACAAATAGAAACTTACACAAGGATTAGTTAACTTTTCTTCCCAATATTTTGACCGGTCACAAACGAGACTTCAGGGTGGAGCAAAAATTTCTTTGGTCGGTCATCGTGTCCGGCCACCGTCCGAAAATTAGTTCGAGCCCTGAACCTGTTCAATGAATAGCTTTTATTCATTGATATTTAATGGTAAGCAGCGCTAAGGTAGCTGGCTTCCATTATTTGCTTAGCTTTTTACAGTGTATGATGAAGCCACAAACTGTGTCCTACATACATTGAAATACTTCAAAAAAGATGAGAATACTTAGTTTTTAACGCATTTATGAAGGAAAGCAAGAAAGTCTTCCAAAGAGGACGGAAGTGGCCTGTTCCTTGAACATTATCGCACAATATGAGGTAGATGCAAGTTTTGTGTGCCGTGTATCATCGCATACATGCTTTTTTTTATCTGAAGTCCCATAAAGGATAACATTTATTGTAAATGTCTGCTTCATCACATAATAATATCTATCACCGATTAAGGCAACAGCAAGTCAAGCCGGCTGCCGTGCAATCTATGAATGCCTTTTATATGCATATCAGTTACATTGAGTCGTGCCCATATTTGCTTTTTGATCTAGAGTTCTGCCGAAGGTCGCACAATAAATGTATCATCTCTAGTATGACACAGCATATTTATGTCAATGACGAATCTGGGGTATAATTTTGCCTCCAGACCACAGAGTTTCAAGGTGAACCAATGGACGTGGCGATCTTATCCACCACTGAAGTGCATGAGTGCGTACGGTGTAGTCTGTGAATACAGTAGCCTCTCATCGCTCTCCGCCGTGGGGGACGTTTCGCGACCGAGACGGTTGTGGTTTGTATGTCATCAGAATGGATCTTATTAGGCCAAAAGCTCTCTCTCCTGAAAAGATCACAGCGGCGGAGGGCGATGAGAGGCGGTTGTGTCGCAGGCTAAGCACGATGGGACACGTGACTTAACAGAATCAAACTCACCAAAACCTGCAGTGGAAGATGACGAAATTTTTCTACAGAAGAAAAAGGTTCATTAGTGAAGTTTAACCAACACCAAGGGTAAATGCAAATAAGGGATAAATGGAAAAGAAAGAGATTCAATTCAAGCAGCGAACCTGGATCACCGTAGCGGTAACCCAGGCCAGTAAAGTCTGCGAAGCAGCAGAGAGATCCTGGAACCGGACCCCCAACTGGTTCAACGAATTGCCGGAAGTGCGCCCTTCCGAATTTCCCTTCAAAATGATTAGTAAATTGACAATGTCTTTTTAACAGTCCAATCACGGCGCGCGCTCAAATCCTGGTACACAAGCAGAAATTATGCGTCTACTTTTTACTTCAAATTTGGTAAAAATAATATATCACTAACTGTGCAACAAACAAGTAAATGGCAAACACATGGGGCCCAAGAACATAAATTTCCGCGTTGGTTCGCAGACGGAATTAAGTAGAGGTTACGTTTAGCCTGTGGCGCAGGCGCAGGCTAAGGTCACCGTCAAGACAGCAAACACGATATCTTCTATCAAAAATTCTCCCCGTACAACCCCTCTAGCTTTCTTTACAACCCCAGCTTGAGCAGCCAAAGTTCCTTGCCGATGTACTGTATTAATGGACCTTGAGGCGTGTAACCACTCTACGATGGAGGTGGTAGGATCAGTCATAAGTTCAAAATACTATACAAATACAACTATCAGAAAACATTCATGTTTCCTTCTACAGTTTGGACCTAAAAATAGTCGTGCGGACATTGGTAGTTGTAGTTAAATGAAGCCATTGGCCAATAAAAAACTGAATAAATTTTATTGCCTGCCAGGGTACCCTTCGGCAGCAGGGACGCAATGCTAAATGGGAAGAGTTTTAGCGTAATATCATCAATCCTTTCCCCGTGAAATTAATCATGTTACCATAATCGTGTCTATTTCATCAGAGAGATAATAAAGTTTAAGGAGGGAAAAAATGGCCAATTTGCCAGAGAACACGACCATTATCACTTCAGTCTTTAATTCCTACTGGCTTTCCTTACATACCTTTTCTTAAAGGGAATTTCCGTTGACTCCATGCTGGAAACTCAGAGCAAAATTTAATTGGTAGATTCCTATGAGACAAATGAATAAGGATTAAGTTTCAAAACAAACTGTGGCGCTGCATCGGGGACGCTGAGTCAATCAATTTAATCCATACTTCATTAATTAATATCTATCTGTCAATTATTGGTCTAACTAAGGCGACTCTATCAGTCCAGCTGGATAATCCAACCAAGGGCGCGTTCGAGTGATCGTAGCCCGGAATAGGTCTGAGAATGCGCAAACATGTGGTTACAAATAACTTCTACCCATGGTTTTGGCCAATCATTTTAACTCTATATACATCGGAATATTATACTCGGACGTACACGCAAAGTCATACCCCCACCGTGGGGCAATGCCGTTGTGGGGGGGGGTTGATGAAACTAGGCTATGATAGATTGTGCTAGCATAATTTTTGGCATAGCTCGTCATAACCAGCATAATTTTCCTGTTTCCCGCCAAAAAAAGTACTGCTAACATAATTTGCACTTTTGGCTAGTTTAGCAGCACAGAATTGTCATTTATTCATCATCCAACAAATTTTTTGGACCCGAGATAAGTGTTATCTGCTTATTGTCGCATTCATGGGACCTGGGTTCAACAAGAAGTGACCTAGGACCTTTCCACAGGACTCAACGCATGCGCATAGCTCGGTTACCCATAATGGAGTCCGTGTGCTTTTTATATTTATCAGAGAATGAATTATGCACTCTTAAAGTTTCTGGCTGTCACTAGGGTAAATATGTTTGCCATTTATATTTGTTCCTTGCATAGTTTTCGAGGTATTTTTACCAGATTTGATATAAAAAGTAGACGCATAATTTCTGCTTGCGTAAAATGACCGTAATTTGCAAAAACTAGCATATATATTGGCATAATTTTAGAAATATACGAGCACTGCGTAGTAGCAAATTATGCTGCTTTTTTTAGCCCAATCTATCAAAGCTTAGATGGAACCCCTCCCTACAGTTTTTGATATTTTGTAGTATATCGAAAAGATTTTACCTTCGATATTCTAAACAAGATAAGGAATATTTTACAGGTGATGGTGCTTCTGGAGGCCTGTGACGTCAACAAACATTGTCGCCATCCTGGCCATCATCTTGGATTTTACCAAGAATTAGAAATCAGGTAAAAACGCTGAGAATTGGTAATTTCTTGTGCTTGACATGTAAAATAACACATAAGTACTTTGCTTCATTTTACCCACAAGCTTTACTTGTATCGTTGAAGGAAGTTGAAAAAACATGCATTTTCACCCAAAAATAGCTTGATCGCCTGCTATTTATGACGCCATGTTTCGTAACCATAGTAACTGATCATCACTAAACTTGTCTCAAAATGCGCGTGTGTGATAAACAAACAGGCACTGAAAACGTCAGGTGCTGATGTTTTATCGTCTTAGGAAAAAACCCCCAGGAACTTCGGAGGGGGGGTGGATGCCACCCCCCCCCCCCCCTTTTGTACGTCGCAGGGTTAAGTAGATTTCTAGATTGCAATGCAGTGAAAGTCTAAATGAGTGAAGACGGAAAACGGTCAATCGAACAATCGAACAAGCCCTTATTGTCTAATGACGTTGGTGTCCTAAATTATAATTAGTCCCTTCCGATATTATTGATGGGATATAACCAATGCAAAGTCACGAGGTCATGCATGTACCACCAATCGTGGTTGAGTTCGTTTTTTCTACAACTGTGTAAAGAACGTTAATTCAATGTCATAGACGATAACATTTGGTACTTAACCAGAGTTTCCTGGCTGGATGGTCAGCGGGCGGTCGATGACCAAAAGCCCAAGAAAAAAAATAATAATACTGAGTTACCGCAGCTGATTACCAGTACAATCTCCAAGATTTATTTAACTGTCAGCTCAGTACATTAAAGAATCAATCTAGAATTGATCTCGCGCTCGGCGCCCGCGCTAAATCGAATGCTGGCGGTACAGTTTAAACAGATTTTAAATCAAAAGAAGCACGCGCGTTTTACAGGCTTTTCAACAAAAAATATAGGGAAGTAAACGATCAGGAAAGACTACCTCATGAGAGTAATTAACTTTAACTGAGATAAATTTAATCTTTATTACATTTAGTCGAAATTACCTTGCAAGCAGAGAACCTTCGATCTTCCTAGACTTACAAGGGAAGACCGTAAGGCCCTCTACTCGCAGGGTAAGTGACGTAACAAAATTGATCCATTCTCCCTATGGCCAACAGACATTAATACTAACGAAAAATAGACTGCAAAACAGTCGGGTTTTTTTCTCAAAATTGGTTCAGAGGAGAGTAAGAGCAGCTTAAGAGCTGTTCTTGCGTACAGTGTACTTGAATACGCAAAAATACGGACTTTTTTGCAGTCTACTAACAAAATAACGACTGACGGAATTTGGCTCAACCTCTTGCAACAGTAAGTTTAACCCAAACGAAAACAACGGGAACCAACAAAAAACAAAAAAGTGCATGTTTTTCCCCACGCTTTTAGAAGTATCATTTACAAAACTACTCAGATGGACAGCTGTCCCTCCGGATAAGACGCTGACTAGCAGAGACATGAAGCAGGGGTTCGGGGCTTTTGCTATCGTGGTACTGGTCTGTCAGTCACTATGTGAGCGGCCAAGGCAGCACATGGCACAAAACACACACTACGTCGGTGCAAGACTAAAGCTTTATAGTCGTAATAAACTACCGGTAGTTTATCAGTCACTTCCAGTAAATAGCGACACCTTGGATAGGAAAATATGATCCTATCAAAACTGATTGCGTCGAACGGGTGTCATATCACATTATATTTATTTTTGGTGTTTCTGTGATATATCATTAGAAGAACCCTAATGACTTCAAGAACTAAGTGGTTAGGTTGACAGAGAAACATTAGAAACAATCCGTGGAAACCATACCTATTTCACTTCTACAGAATACGAGATTCAGCAAATGCCAATTTCCTTCAAGAGGCGCGACCGATGACAATTCGTTATTTCCGTTTCAGTGTTTGCTTATTGTATTTTGTTTAAACTGTAATATTAGTTCTTTTCATTTCACGTTCTGAAGTATCAAGTTTTTGTCCCAAATAAACAATCTTGGAGGACGGAGCATGAGAAATTATGATGAATAATGCACACTAACGGCTCTTTGTTAAAGAGTATTTATGGGGTGGTTTTCTATAGCTTGTTACATTAGATCATTTACTACACTAGGACTGTTCGAGAACACCGTAAATAAACCAAAAGCGCTTTACTTACCGAAAAATAGGTCGTTGTTTCTCAGGTAAACTCTTTAGATTCCCCGCTCACCGATCAACTGTTCGTCGATGATAAATTAGCGTCGACTAGGTATTGTTGGGAAGAACACGGCGAACAACGCTACGGGTTGCGAAGCGCCGTTTGCTAAAATGTAATTGGAAACCCTCGAATGAACTTTTCTTATGATAAATGAAGCTGTTTTGCGTTAACACTGACAAAACATCAGGCATGTGTCTGTCAATACCACAACATGTTTTTGGAGTACATGTATAGATGTATACAGTTGGATTTCTACCTGATGCTAAATTATAACGTTTATTTACATGCAGCCTGGTTAGAAATCTGCCAAAAATTCTGACTTTCACTTCAGCATTTGAACGTTTTTGGGAAATCTCTAAAAATGTCCGGAAAACACCATGGGAGAATTTCAATGAGCTCATATTTCCGATCTTTTCATGTCAACAAAGATCACATTACATATCGTCTACAAAAGAATTGACGCTTTGTATCACACGATCATATCTCTTACTTAGAAGTGCAGAGATCGTATTCCACGGCTGAGTAAAAAGTCATAGCATATTCTTTACTTAGTTTGATCCAAAATACACTTTGTTTCGTAGCCCTATTCTAATACAAGGCTGGGTACGGTTTCTTACGTCCACTAAAAATTCAGTCAAAACTCTGTGATCTGTCAGACGGACAACATCGCGTCTCGACCCACAATCCCGTTCATAATTGTTGAAGAACTGCCGGAAACCACGAGATGAACTTGGTCCTTTCATGAATACACGTATCGCGCTTCCCACCCCTTCCCGCAATGTTGGTTTCACGTGTTTGTTTGGGCACAAACGTCTTGGAAATCAACATTGAAGCGGCAGGGAAGGAAAATTTCGAAAGCGTTTCAACAATTATGACCGGGAATACAGATGCCCCGCGGCCTAGCCTAGGCGTCCATCTCACCCAAATCTTTAGGGAACTGGGGCGAGTTTCAAATTTCAAGTAATCGATGAACTGACACCATCATGAAAGGTCATGTTGAGATTGGTCATTTGACCAAGTTTTGGTGCTCTAAAGTTAACAGGGATCAAGTTATGACTCGTGAAACATGCATGGTTAAAGCCCGGGGGTTAAAGATCCATACAAACGTCTATAATTTTGGGACAGCACCGCCCCAAAACCATATAAACTCTTTAAAATTTTTCAGTTTTTCTTTTAAACTGTAAAATTCGTCATGCATCTACTACTTGAAAGGAACTAATTCGAAAATCACTGTTTTTGCCCATTTTTAGGAATTTCACAGAAATCGTGAAAAACATAAGAGTTTACGTGGTTTGGGGGGAAGCTGTCACAAAATTACAGAGGTTTTCAACCATGTTTCAAGAGTCATAACTTGATCCCTGTTCAACCTTAGAGCACCAAACGTGGTCAAATGACCAATCTCAACATGACCTTTTATATGGTGGTATCAGTTTATCGATTAGTTTAAATTTGAAACTCGCCCCAGTTCCCTACGCAACTCCGAAATGGCCAATATTATGGAATGGACCAACTCTGGAGCAATGCTAGAGGCTCGCCTTATAGAGGTGTCTAAACAGCGAGCGTTGTCTGGTATACATTGCGGTCTTGAGGACACCTCACTAGCTATTAGAGACATCCTAGCCTGGGACCAGGCCCTGCAGCCGGGGGGAAAAGGCAAAAAACTGGGTCAAATAGTAGCACAGTTCGTAGCTCACCAACCAGTCAATTTTGCTTCGTTAACTGATGGTTTCATTTTATCATTTTTAAAATCATTGATACTTTGATTATGAAAGCAAACACGGAAAACATAAAACTGGTCTCCGGGCCCGAAAAGTTACCTGCACTTTCGAAAAACGGGACCTTGGTCCCAGGCTACAGACATCACGACTACACGGTACGCC